GAAAAGCCTACGTCTCAAGAGAACGGACACTTATGATAGCGCTATTACCAGACATCTCCTCGACATGGGTCATGAGGCGGAAATCGAGAAGTCCTTCAAAATTATCAACAGACAAAGGAGCTCGATTCCCCTGTAGTTTGCCGAAGTAATTTCTATCAAACGCTTGAAACCAGATTGATGTGTTCAGAAAGGGGCAGTTATTAGTCTTTCCTTGCCCACCTGGTAACTGGATGTCTTTATTCTTTCTTTCATTTGATCACGTAGTCTTTGGCTTTAACCTCACCCCCTTTTATAATTTGTAATTTTTCTTGTCTCTGGTTTCAATGATTCGAGTTGAACTTGGTGCATTGTTACCTAATTTATTAGTCACTCTGCATCTTACGCATCTCTCGTCTTTATTACGTAACTCCCTTACCATTGTATGCATACATTTATTTTTTTTTGTTTAAACTTGAACCGTCTGTGTAAAAACTATATAAGTGTGATTTTCTGAGCACTGTTCACTAACTGTGGAATTTTCTGTCAACTGACATCATGAAAAACAATTTGCAAGTATGTTAAAACTTTTCTGCATATAAAGCTCACAATTTATTTAGGCTGTAAACAGCAGCTGATGATGAGAAGCCGATGAAATAAACAATGATGGTACAGTCTTCTTATTCTGCACAAACCACTGTTGTTGTTCTTGCTTTATTCAAATTCATCAAGGGGAATAAATGCATGAATTGTCTATGTTAATGTTATCAGTACAACTTAAAATGACCAAGTTGACCTTTCTACATAGCATGAACTTAAAACCTTCTTTATAGAATTATCACGTTTTATTTACTTCAGTCTACTTGAAGCTGCAGTTTTGCATTATAACATCATCTCTAGTTGAGTGGGGATGCGGCTAAATTTGTTCTCTGTGCCTTCCTAGATTATACATCTGCTTTTCAATCACCCATTATCTAAGGATATTTTGTTAAATAAGCTTGCTGAAACTCACACTGGGTGTTGGGTTGTCAACTGGTTGCATTCTTATTTCTCAGGAAGAAAGAAGTACACTGTATGTAAGGCGAAGTCGTAGACTTCATAACCTACTGGGGCTGGCGTCTCTCAAGGCGCTGTTCTTTCTCCTTTTCTGTTTTCTTTCTTCCTGCATAACTTGCCTCACTCTGATGATGAAATCAACTTTGTTAAGTATCTGGATGATCTAACTGTTTCAATGTCTGTTAACTTTCAGCTATACTGTACTGAGATGAACAGCTTACTATCAGGAGTTGGGAAAATAGTCATTGTCTAATGGTGTCTAATGTTCTTCCAAATGTCAGACTGTTAATTTCAGTTTTCGATGTAAAAGAAAGCTAAATGAAGCTGGTATTTTCTATGAACGTTGTGAAATTGATGATGTTAAGGATACAGAAATCAAGTCTATCGTTAAGTATCTTGGACTAGTTCTTCTTTTTGATCTATCCTGGTTTTTCTGTCTTAGCGTTTTCTAAAAATATATTCCGTCTGATTTTTTACATTAAGAAGTTAAGGCACTCAACCCATACTCTTAAAGCTTGTCGACTCGTGCATCTTACCAATTCTTCCTTACTGTTCACCTTATTCTTTTCTGTATTGCTTTAAAAAATACTATGTCATACTTCGTAGAACTCCGAAGACTGACTGTAAGTAGGGTGATTGGTGGTATCCCATTGGGTCATATCAATTGTTGACATTATCATTGTTGATAGGCACTTGATTTTATCCAACAAATTTGCTAAATGGAATTTGTCAGACTGTGAGTATCCATATCAACATCCACAGCTTTCATCTTGCTGCATCTCCTCAGGTAGAACAATAAGTCATTTCAAAAGACTTTACGCTTGCACACATCTAAGTATACAAATTCCACGATACTATATTTGGCGGCACATATTTTATGTGATAAAAATGGTGTCAGGCACGGACGAACTAACTGACTAACAAACCTTTTTTCCACTAGCAAATAAGCAATTTTCTCCATCCTTATACCACCAATCAAGCTTTACTGTTATTATTCTTCTTATATTTATAGTCCTCTCACTTTCTTTTGTTTATTTTTTCGTAAGTGCAAAAATTATTTACGCTCTGTAATAATTTTCAAGAATTAGTTTAGACCATGGATTGATATCAGACAGAGAACCATTGAAAACCAAGACAGGAGTACTGGACAGCCAGCTGTTTCGTCAGCCTAGTTTGGGTTCATCGATAGTACGCACCCACCGCCAGAGTTCGAATCCATTGCCTTCTGGTCACAAGGCAAGCTAGCTCGTAGATCATTCAGCCACTGGGACCCAATCCAGTGGCCATTTCATGAATTCTAACTCAATAAAACACAAAATAATCGAGCAAAGAATATTCTTTTCGATAAATTCCTCTTCCGGCTCTACAAGTATATATGTTCATATACACAGAATATTCTAGATTAGTAGTCAATAACAATATTGGTGTTTCGTTTAAATAATATCGATTTGTATAGTAAGACCACATTGGAATTACAGTTCATTAAAGATGCTTAAATAATAACAATATAGATATAGAAGCGAACAGAATATCAACTGAAATTAGGGAAATTCCAGAAAAATTCAGGATCATTCAAACCTGGATGGCCAAGGTAATGATAATGTCTGAACTAACTTCTTTTGGATGCATAAATTAGGCTTGTTAATATGGATCCCCACAACCTCAGCAATATTTAGTAGTCGAACTCTTAAAACAAAATTGAGATTCGTAGGTATGCGGTAAATGACCGTGAAAGCCTGGTTAACGTCAATCTTGTGTTCTGTCTCCACAAGATGAGATGGAATAGCGCTACGAACGGATTTGTTTGTCCTTTGCTTAACCACTATGCAGGATGATGTTCGGAAATTCGTCGAGAAACACGCCTAATTGTACGGCCTATATAACTGGCTCCACAAGAGCAGTTAAACCTGTAGATACACATGGAAGAGGCGAAATTAGGTCGTTTGTCTTTTACTCCCGAACGCAGAAAATGAGTGGTTTTAAAGATACAACGTGATTCAGCAGCAGGGAATGCTCTTTTCACCGCATTTCTGAGGCGCCGTGTTAGTATCTCGCTGGTGTTGTCCCCAAAAGAACTGCATCTGTAAGAATAAGGCCTTTTTTTAGAACTGTCGGCAACTTGGGATGCTTTGGTTTCAGATTCATATTCTTATCAATAAACTTTTCAGGATAACCATTCTCACTTAGCAACCGTTTAATATTATTCACTTCTTCATCAAGACATTCGTCCGAGCAAATCGCTCTTGCTCTGTGAGCCAGGCACTTTATCAAATTGCGTTTGTATTTCAAGAGCATAAAACTAAGAAAATGTGTGTACTGGCCAACTTCTACCAATTCGGGATTTTTAGGGTGACCACGAACCAATATTATTTTTTTTCTCGGTGTCCCCTTCACCATGCTATGCCAAGAGAACATTAGATTCAATAGTCTATAACGTGCTAAAAATCTCCATACTGTATCGACATTACTGTTTGAAACAAACCCATTTATTATTTTTACGATTTGATCACGGATCGATATCATTAGTTAGTGAACCATTGAAAACCAGGGAGTACTGGACAGCTGATGTTTCATCCTAGTTTGGGAATCAAACTATAGAAAATTAATCTAATGCTCGCTAGTGACTTACTACAGGTTGGAGTTTCCTGAGTTCTAGTGAGAAGTCGTGACCAGTGAGGTTCAATTAGATGTCACGTGTGTCGATGGATGTCCCACCAATGACAATGGTTGGGGTCGCGCCAAATCACGAATTAGTAGAAGTTAGAATTCATGCGGTGGCCATTGAGTCGGGTCCTAGTGGCTGAATGGTATACGACATTGCCTTGTAACCGGAAGGTCCTGGGTCCGAACCCTGGTAGTAGGTGTGTACTGTCGATGATTCCCGAACTCGGATGAAACAGCAGCTGTCCAGTACTCCTGTCCTGGTTTTCAATGGTTCTCTAACTAATGATATCAATCAGTGATCAACTCGTAAAAACATAACTATTCCTTACAAAACGAACTATAGAAAACCCATTACTACTATTATTATTAGAGTTATTATTTTTCATGTTGTACTTTGCACATTTTTGACATTATTTCAACTGTCAGTGTCCACAGACTCCTGTAGTTACTCTTATTTATAATGTTTTGAGTAAATTAGATACAATATATTGTGACAAATGCTGAGAATTCTATGCCATATTATCAGTACTGTCTGTTTTAGAATTATTATTATTATTATTTCCTTAGGTTCCGAGTGGAACATTCGATTTCTACAACACATCTCCACTTTCTTCTATTCTCTGCTGTCCTTTTCAGCTGGCTGATGATACAACTGATCATAATCTGTCATTTCCTCTATGTCAGCCTCCCACTGAAAACCCACTCGTTGATTCTCATTTGGATTCCATTTGAGTGATGGCCTGCATTGCGTGCGATGTCATTCGATGCCCTCCTCAATAGCGTGTATGCCCAACCAGTCCATCTTCATTTCCTTCAATATACTTGTTAAGCAATCGACTCGTGCACAGTTGGTTTGTTCATCGCCAGAGTTTCTTCTTGGTAATTACTTCTCAATGGCCGTTTGATCTTCACTACGGAGTGAAGGTGGCTGTTGATGAAAGTTTGCACTAGCCTGTTGGAAATCTTTTTCGTGACTCACGCGCGCAGTATAGAATGATCGAATTGACATTAGTGTTGAATAGAATTCGAATCTTGTTCTTTATGCTGGCTGGCTGGCTGGATGAACGGTGGTAGATGGGTGCGTACTGATGATGAGTCCCACACTAGGACGAGACAACTGTCCAGTACTCCCTGGTTTTCCAGTGGCTCTCTAACTGATGTCAGCTCATGATGAAATCCTCCAGCCAATCAAACTAAATCCCTAGAAAATCAATACTTGAAAGTAGGTTATTATAATTATTATCATCATTAATACTACTTTATTATATTTTCCTGACTTCCTCTTTTTTATTTTCTTTGTACAGAAAATGTCAATATAACCTTTAAAACAAAAAAGGTAGAAATGAGTTCAATAATATCATATAATCCTGTTGTTAATGGCCATACAACAATCAATATGTTTCAATCTAATGAAACTAACCCGGGTTATACAAATAATAATAATAACAATAATAACAGCAGTTCAATGTACAATATAGATTTATTACAATGGCAATTAAATACATCAGATAACTCACTTAATCGTCAGTTTAAATCATACAGTAAGTTGGGTGAATAAAAAAGGAAAGAGAAATTAATTATTATTTAAAAAGAAACTTTTATACATTTGGTTCCCCTTAATGAATTTGAATCAAGCAAGAACAACAGTGGTTTTAACAGCATAAAATGGTACTATCACTATTTCGTTGACTTCTCATCCAGCCGATATAAGTATAAAACTTGGGCAGTATGGCGGTAGAGTATAACTCCTGTTATAATGTTAGATCTTTTGTCTCGAGGTCACTGCTTATAACTACTGACCAGTGCCCACTTAACTGGTAAAGCAGAACACGCGAGAATCAGCGGTAAAACCAGGTTCATCGTTCATTTATGACAAAAGTGACTGTATTTATACAGAAAATAAGGTAGACTGGAAATCAACCAATCCGGTTGAAAGTTTGGAATTGTGCAAGCGTCCAATCAGAAAGCAGAAACAATTGCATGTCAACGACCTGTTAATAACGCGATAATAACTTGACTGAGACATGATAACGACCTGATAACTGCATGTGTTTCGCCTCTTTCTAACAACTCCATTATAGATAAGATTTTATTTTGATAAAGTGTCACACAGTGTTACACTGTGATATTAACTGATGATCACGTTTCAAGAACAAAAAAAGACCTAAATGATGAAATGAAACAGATAGAAGAACTGTTGGTCGGTGTTAAATAGCTATACTATAAATTTCATTACGAAGGTCTAATAAAGGTGAAAAGCAAAATAAAAATAATGAGGAAACTAATAATGATAACATAAATAAGAGAGAGAGTATAAGGCATCCACAGCAGTTTTACTATATAAGGAGGGGACATTCTAGACCTTCCCTACGTGAAATTCTTAATAGAGCAGGAGTTAGGGTGTTGGTATTCAAACCCAAAAAACCCAGTCATTCAGATAGGACAAGCTGTGTAGGTTAAAGGACCAAGTTGACCTAATTAAACAAAATAATACAATTTACAAAATACCTTCCAATGATTGCGAGTCAAGTCAACTACATAGATCGAACTAGTGGATCAGGAGTAGTGAGATTATCAGAACATAAGAAATTAGCTAGGATTAGAATGATTGACCCCGAGAAGATAAGCAGTTTAGAAAAAAGCTCAGCAGTAATTGCACTGCATGCATTAACAAATAACTACACAATAGGGTGGGAGAGGGTTGAAATTCTAAAAAGTAGTATTGGTGTGTGGAGAGTGAAAGAGATTGATTACTAAATCCTGGTTCATTGAGTCTACACCCAACACATGCAACAGAAATGACTCAATGCAAATACCAGAAATATGGAAGGTATTATTACCAGTCAGTCAGTCAGTCAGTCAGTCAGTCAGTCAGTCAGTCAGTCAGTCAGTCAGTCAGTCAGTCAGTCAGTCAGTCAAACCAGAGGAGGATAATAAGTAATCTTAAAATTCTATTCTAATTCACATACGTTATAACATTCTAACAAGTTACTTATTTTGACTATAAAAACATTCGTTTTATTTCCCATCTGTTTTTAGTCAAACGTCTGATCATCAATTTCACTCATGTATATAAATGAAGTAAGAAAGTTGTGTGGTTGACTTGATATGAATATGAGTGTTAATAATTTATGCTTAAAACGTGTTCATCAGTTAATATTACTGTATAACACTACACTGTGTGACACTTTATCAAAATAAAATCTTATCTATAATGGAGTTCTCATCAGCTGCTCACATGGCAAAGTCATTATTAAATATATCTACAGAAACAATTCTAACATACTTGTACAGAGTTCATTTTTAAACAAAAATCAGTCAATCGATGTATCTACACAGTAATAATATATATAATATTAAACACTTTATCGCGAGCAATAATACTCATACACAATGGAAACTTTCAACATTACGTAATCAGATGAAAGAGAGAGAGAGAGAGAGAGAGGAGAAAAATACCCAGTTACCAGGTGGGCAGCGAAAGACTGATAACGGCTTTTTTCCGAACGCATAAATCAGGTTTCAGGCGATTAATGGAGATTGATGGCTTCGGCAAACTTGAAGAGAATTGAACTCTTTTGTCTATTGATAATTTTGAACGATCTAGCGACATCTACCTCATGACCCGTGTCAAAGAGATGCCTGGCGATGGCACTGTTGGAAAGTATTTGTTCCCTTTAGACATAAGCTTTTTGGTACATGTTCAGAAAATTGTAGATATACCCTTCTTCTTTGTGTTCTTCCAATGTAACTGTTCCCGCAGATCCATGAAATCCTTGACAGTTAAACTGAGTCAGGTAGGGAGATGCAAACTCCCGGGTTGAGGGCCTCGGGACTCTAGAAATCAATGGCTGGAGACAATAGGTGACATGGCTCAAAATCGTTGTCAATGGCCAGCGCAGATGTATTCAGTCTCTGTAATCTTTCATATTCCTTTCTACCATTACCCATTCTGTTTCACTCTTATACTTGTCAAACTCTATTGATTCTCTTCACTCATCTTCTTGTCTACCTCTGTGTGCTATTTGGAACGTGGCAACTCGAACTGGTGCACTTCGGTGCCAAGTTCTATGTTGAATCCAGACAGACAGATATAGTTGGAGTTGACATGAGAAGGATATCTATTGATTTTTGATTGCACCAAGGATGAGCAAGTTGTTCGATAGACAGGAACTAGCTTGGCTGCAAGATAAGCTCTGGCTAGTGACGTACTCAGTCTCCTGTTGACCATTGCTGCAATGTTTTCACCTTTTTAATCAAGTTGAACATAGATGGGCGTTTTTTCACGACTGTGATATTTCCGTCTTCAGATCTTCCGTACTTGTTAATGAACCTTTCAGGGTAACCGTTGTTTTTCAAAATCTTTTCGAGAAACATAAATTCTTCCTGTAATATTAAAACTTTTCAGTTTAATTTTCTAGAGTTGGATGTTTGTATTTGACACATGGGGAGAAAGCGTTCGGTCTAGTTTGCCTAAAGAAACGTTGGAATTACTCATTTCAATTTCTTTGTGATTTTACAAATATAATTTTTGTTTTACATATTATGTCTACTTCTCACTTGGTGCCCAATTATTATAGAACTTTTCGGTAAAATCTTGATCGCAATTTATACTAAATAAACAGCTTAACTGATATTACTTTCAGGCTTTAAGGTTATCCGATCACAGTATAATCAATATTCTGCTCAGCCCTATGGTTCAAATTTTCCTACACCGGTGTTTGGCGCGTTTTCACTGGTTTTAATATTGGACCAAAAACAGGAGGTATATAACACCGACACGGGATAATTTCTCTTCAGGTTGAATATATACGCTTTTCTTGATAAGTGACTAAAGTTCAGAACTTTCTACTTATTGATTTGTTTTCTATAGTTTGGTTTGTAAGGGTTGGTTATGTTTTTACGAGTTGATCATGGATTGATATCAGTTAGAGAACCATTGAAAACCAGGGAGTACTGGAAAGCTGCTGTTTCATCCGAGTTCGGGAATCATCGACAGTACACACCTACTACCAGGGTTCGAACCCAGGACCTTCCGGTTACAAGGCAATGTCGTATACTATTCACCCACTGGGACCCGATTCAATGGCCACTGCATGAATTCTAACTTCTACCAATTCGTGATTTAGCGCGACTGACAACAACCATTGTCGTTGGTGGGACATCCATCCACACACGTGACATCTAATTGGACCTCATTGGTCATGACCTTTCACTAGAAATCCAGGAAACTCCATTCTGTAGCAAGAGTTGTAGTCTGTTTTTTGAAAATAAACATTATATAATTTGGTTGGAAGATTTCATTACGATGTAAAATTAGTTGGAGGATCATTGAAAGCCAGCATTGGTGTACTGGACAACCAGCTGTTTCTTCAGCGTAGTTCGGGACTCTTCAGCACTACGCACCCATCACAAGAGTTCGAAACCAGGACTTTCTGGTTACAAGGTGAGATAGGTCGTAGACCATTAAGCCACTAGGTCTCGAACCAATAGCCAGACCATGGATTCTAACTTCCGCCAATCCAAGACATAGTGAGACCACTTCACAATGTCTTCTTCGGTGAATAACTGTTCTCAACTTCAGCCTACTATACTCATCTGGTCAAGGCTTTCCAGTAGAACTCACCTACCTGAATAGGACCAGTCTCTAGTGAGCATCAGATCATTTTTTCAAGTATTTGCTTTTGTAGGGATTTTGTTTGATTGGTTGGAGGATTTCATCATAGGCTTAATGATCAATGAGATAGCTCGCGCCTTGTAACCAGAAGGCCCTGGGTTCGAACGCTGGCAATGGGGTGGGTGAGTACGGCTGAAGAGTCGGTCGCCAAATAGGCTAATGAAACAGCTGACTGTTTAGCATTTCCAGCTGGTTTTCTATTGGTTCTCTAAAGGATGTCAGCTCATGATGAAATCCTCCAACTAATGAGACAAAAATCCCTACAAAAATCAATACTTGAAAATTACATAATATCTTATTGTTATTTATTCAAAATAATCATGTGTACACATGTATACGTTTATATATATACATATTATCAGCTAAACACAAGAAGGATCATATTCGTGAAAATATTCGTCGTCTAAGAGAATTAGATGAGCATATGGCAGTCAAACGATGTATAGAACAATCGAGTGGATCAAATTCTGCCACAGATCGTACACAAAATAACCACAGATGTAGCAAATTTACAACGTCATCATGCCACAATCATTTACCACCTGTATTGATGAGAAAGTCTCCACATGAGGTAAGCAAAAATTGACATGGAATTTATTTCATTTTTGTCAGCATTTTTATGCTAATATTTCTGATAAATTTGTTAAAATAAATTTCGGTGAAGTGATTAATAAATTAATATACCTATTATTGTAACAATGGAAGACAAGAGTCAGGCAACAGATCGTTTATTGAGGAAATCAATAGATATTTATTGATTTTTATGTAAATTATTATTAGCGTTACTGTTAGTAGAGAAGTAACGTCTTCTTGTATTATGGGTAAATTTTGTTTTGATAAAGTCTCACAGTGTTGTTATACAGTAATGTTTACTGATGACCACGTTTCGAGCACAATTTATTGCCACTCATAATCATATCCAGGTAATCACACGACTTCCTAACTTCATTTATATAGTTCCATTATTTTTCACTTGATTTTCGCTTGTTTTTATAGGTATTTCAGGTATGAGTGACGAGTCATTCCTATTGCATGTGTTGGGTGTAGATCACTCGATGAACAAGGATTCAGTAATCAACCCTCTCTCTCCCTCCACCTGCCTAGATTACTTTTTAGAATTTTAAATCTCTCCCACCCTATTGTGTGGTTGTGTATTAACGCATGCATTGCAATTGCTGAGCTTTTTTCTAAATTACTTATCTTCTCGGGTTCAGCCATTCTAACCTTAGCTAAATTCTTATGTCCTGACAATCTGTTTAACAAACCGAGCAGTAGCACTAAGTAGCACAAGAAAAGACCTAAATGATGAAATAAAATAGATAGAAGAAGCGTTGGTGTTAAATATCTATCCTTTAAAATTCATCTGGAAGATCGAAAAAGGCCAAACGAAAAATAAAAATGATTGTGAAACTAGTAATAATAACATAAATAAGAGAGAATATAAGTCATCTACAGTTATACTATATAAAGAGGGGCATCTGAAACCCTACGTAGGATTCTAAATAAAGCAGGAATTAGGGTAGCATTTAAACCTACAAACTCACTCAGGGACAAGGTCTGTAGGTTAAAGGACCTTGTAAGTTGACCCAATTAGACAGAATAATATAATTTACAAAATACCCTGCAATGACTATGAGTCACGTCAACTACATAGGTCATACTAGTAGGTCAGGGGTAGTTAGATTGTCGGAACATAAAAATTTAGTGGCTAAGGTAAGAATGGTTGACCCTGAAAAGATAAATAATTTAGAAAAAAGCTCAGCAATTGCAGTGCATGCGTTAATACACAACCACAGAATATAGTAGGAGAGAGTTAAAATTCTAAAAAGTAATCTAGGCAGGTGGAGGGAGAGAGAGGGTTGATTACTGAATCCTTGTTCATCGAGTGATCTACACCCAACACATGCAATAGGAATGATTCATCACTCATACCTGAAATACCTATAAAAACAAGCGAAAATCAAGTGAAAAATAATGGAACTATATAAATGAAGTTAGGAAGTCGTGTGATTACCTGGATATGATTATGAGTGGCAATAAATTGTTCTCGAAACGTGGTCATCAGTAAGCATTACTGTATAACACTGTGAGACTTTATCAAAACAAAATTTACCCATAATGGAATTACACTCTATCACAGGGCGCATGTTTTATTCTTATATCAGTGACGTCTTATTGGTTGTTTTCCTGCTGAAGATTATTCTGTCATCTCTTTGTGGCCGTTACTTAGACAGTTCGGTCTCCGAATCGTATCCGCCCACGCTACGTCTGCTGTGATTGGTTGGTGAGTTCCTCAAGGTTAGGCTTTGCTATTGTTTTTTCTCATGACCCCAATTTGGGACGTAAATTTCTGTCTACTGGCTAGCAGACATCTCTCACCACATACCACCTACTATGACGTTCGAAGTTTGTTATATTGTAGAATGATGTTCAATACTCTTCAATTTTTGATAATATCAGTAGTGGACGAAAGACTTGGTAAAGGAATGTTTAGTTAGAATTCGGTCTCTTGAAATGGCCAAATTATGTACACCAATATCTTCAACGTACCATTTGCACTTCTGGCCTTCCTTCATATTGTGTTTCTTTGTGTTAGTTTCATGCCTTCAATCTAGTGTTGCCTAGTGTTATTCTTAAAAAGTGTGCAGATATCTTGTGTTATCCTCTCATGGACATATTTAATGAATCTTTTTCCAAAAATGTCGTGTCAGCCGTTTAGAAGGACATTAAAATTGTGCGTATACCTAAGTCGTCTACTGGAACATGTTTAAAATTTAGACCTATTGCTATTACCTCCCCTTTTCTAAAATCTATGGAAGAGTTACTCTTACTTAATCTTCAATCTTCACTTAAAGCCTTTAACGACCTCAAACAATTCGCTTATAAACACAGTAGAAGTAATTTAAATGCAGTTGCAGTCTTGTATCATAACATTGTCTCCAGTTTGACAAGGGGGCTAAATTTGTTCGCTGCACTTTCCTAGATTACACATCTGCTTTCGACTCAGTACCTAGGGATATTTTGTTAAACAAGTGTGCTGAAACTCAAACTGACTGTTGGGTTGTCAAATGGCTGCATTCTCATTTCTCAGGAAGAAAGCAGTACACTGTATATCAGGGAAAGTCGTCCACTTCGTTGCTTATCGAAGCTGGTGTCCCTCAAGGCGCTGTTCTTTCTCCTTTTCTGTTTTCTTTCCTCTTGCATGAACTGCTTCAGTCTGATGACGAAATCAACTTTGTTAAGTATGGTGATGATCTAAGCGTTTCAGTGTCTGTTAACTCTCAGATTGACTGTACTAAGATGAACAGCTTACTATCAGGAGTTGGGCAAATAGTCATTGTCTAATGGTGTTAAACTAAGTTCTTCCAAATGTCAGACTGTTAATTTCAGTTTTCGATGTAAAAGAAAGCTAAATGAAGCTGGTATTTCCTATGAACGTTGTGAAATTGATGATAGTGATATAGAAATCAAGTCTGGTGTTAGGTATCTTGGACTAATTCTTCCTTCTTGTCATCCTGCTCTTCCCACGTCTTAGCGATTGGTAAAAAAATATTCCATCTGACTTCCTACATTAAGAAATTAGGGCACTTTTGCTTAAACTCAACCCCTCCTCTTACACTTTGTTCGCTCGTGCATCTTACCTATTCTTCCGTACTGTTCACCCTTATTCTTTTCCTGATTGCTTAAAAAGACTATGTCATACTTCGTAGGACGATAAGGTATTCCATTGGGCCATATTTTTGACAGTGTCACTGATAGACACTTGTTTTTTTATGTAAAAGATTTGCTGAAGGAATTTTGTCAGACTGTAGGCATCCACCGCAGCACCCGCAGCTCCAACCTAGTGTCTCCTCAGGTAAAACAAGAAGTCTTTTCAGAAGACTTTATGCACATACGTCTAAGTATAAAAATTCCACTGAACCATATTTGACGACACGTACTTTATGTGGTGAAAATAGTGTTAGGCATCAACTAACTAACTAACCTTCTTCGCACTGCCAAATAAACCATTTCCTCCACCCTTACAGTATCAAACTTTATTGTTATTGTATTTCTTATATTTATAATCCTCTCAATTTTTTGTTTTTATTTGTTTATTTTTTCATAAGTGTGAACATCATTAAAGCTGTGTTACCACTGTTAATCTTGTATTTCCCCTCACTACAAAGAGGGAAAATCAATCGACGAGGCTATAAAGTTACATAGATTGATAATGGTTAGGTGACGTGCTGCGCGTGCCTAACTATCGCCTCCCCCGACGGCCAATACTAGCTGATATAAGTGCAGGTTGGAAAAGAGTAAGTGGTGGCCAAACAAAAACATGGCATCAGTCCATGAAACCCTTGACAGTTAAACTGAGTCAGGTAGGGAGGGAGATGCAGACTTCCGGGTTGGGGCCCTCGGGACTCTAGGAATCAATGGCTGGAGACAATAGGTGAAATGTCTCAAAATCGTTGTCAATGGCCAGCGCAGATGTATTCAGTCTCTGTAATCTTTCATATTCCTTTCTACCATTACCCATTCTGTCTCACTCTTATACTTGTCCGACTGTATTGATTCTCTTCACTCATCTTCTTGTCTACCTTTGTGTGGCATTTGGAAGGTGGCAACTCGAACTGGTGCACTTCGGTGCCAAGTTCTCTGTTGAATCCAGATAGACGGACAGACAGACAGATGTCCTCTCCTTATATGGTAAAACTACTGTAGTTGACTTATATTCTCTCTTATTTATGTTATCGTTATCAGTTTCACCATTATTTTTATTTTGACCTTTCTTGATCCCTAGCGAATTTTATAGGATAGTTAGTTATTTAACGTTATATCTGTTTCATTTCATCGAAAAGGTCTATTTTGTTCTACTTAGTGCTTAATTATAATCCTATTGTATTTTATTGATAGCACTAGTATTGCTTCTGAATGTACTTTATCTTCCTTTCTGTTTCATGCGTGTCTATTGGACGTTTATTGATTTTTATCCATATATCTAACCGAGTTTTACTCATGTGTATAAATGAAGTTTGAAAGTTGTGTGATTGTCTTGATATGATTATGAGCTGCACTAATAAATTGTGCTCGAAACATGGTCATCAGTAAATATTACTGTATAACACTACACTGTATGAGACTTTATCAAAATAAAATTTTCTCCATAATGGAATTATACTCTACTGCCACAGTGCCCAAGTTTTATTCTTAAATCAATGATGCAAGTAGGTTTATTTACAAACCGTTGATTATGTAATCAAAGTTTTGAATTAAGTTTATTCCCTAACTTTCTTTATTATCTGTCTCTTGTGGATAACAATGTAGGATGTAAATAGAATTCCGTCTTTCTTTTTGGTAGAATCTAGGATGAAAGTTTCATCCCACTTGGAACTCTTCAGCTCGATATACTTGAAATCTCCAGTACAAGTGGATATTGATGGTGGTGTTGTTGTCACTGAGATTCGAAGACAGCATTTATCGTTTCAAACATGCCCAAGTCTTCTTCATCAGACTACTTGGGCTTGGAATTTACTAGAATGCATCAAAGAACAATCACTTATCATTTATGTTTTAACGCTTAGTATTTCCCTTTTTAAACAAACAAAGAAAGATGAAACATTGGCGCATAATAATCTGGATCCATTTAATTTCGTTGGTTATCATCAGCTACACACAACCTGGATTCTTTAATAAAATGAAAAAAGTGTAAAATTTTAACAAACTTTTATCCATTAGCAAGCAGATTGTCAGAACGTCATAGTGAAATAAGGTGTTGCGATTTACAAGGTGTCTAAAGTGTTACGACATATATGTATCTATCTTGTTAGAGAGAAGTTCCTTGAAAAAAAATAATTTTACAGTTGTGTTGTTGGGGTGGTAAGACACTTAGTAATGGTTACGTAATTAGATAAGAGAAGATCAAAATTTCGGTGCACATGAGGTCAGATGAGAAGTTGATGATGTAATACAGTGAGCAGAACTCAGAAGATCAAGAGAAATTATCTCTTAAGAGAGTCAAGCTAAAAATAGAGGGGGGGGGCGTGAAAAGATAAGCTAACAAAATTAGAAAACAAAGAGTTACTAAGAAGTAAGTCACCAGGGTAATTGAAGTCCAACAACGGATTCTTTTTGGATACATAAATCAGGCTTCAATCGTTTAATTGCTGTAGCGTTAGCAAACCTGAGAAGGCCTTGCGTACTTTGTCTGTTAATTATTTTGAATTATTCCAGCACATCTACTCGGTGTCCTGTGTCAATCAGGTGTTTGGTGGCGATTGAAGAGCTTAAACAATTCAGTCCTTTTAACCGGAAGCTCCTTGGTACATGTTCGCAGAATCTGACATAGGCCCTCCTCTCTGTTCTTCCAATGTTAATGCTCCCGCAGATGCATGTGAACTGGTATACACAGTTGAAGTTAACATGTGAGGGGTACTTGTCAATCTTTTACTACACCAGTGAGGAGGTTGTTCGGGATAGAGAGACTAATAATGCTGCAGGAAGGATACGTCCTAGACAGGGCTGCGCTTAATCTTTTATTTACCATTCTCATAATGTCGTTGCCCTTGTAGTCGAGTTTGATGAAAACAGGCTCCTTACTGGCTGTAACTGTATCAAGCTTCTTGAGTTCATTCTCGCCATATTTGTTGACGAAACCTTATGGGTGACCATTTTCTTTCAAGATATATATATATATCGTAAGAATTTAGACACCCTGTAAATCGCAACGCCTTATTTCAATATGACGCTCTGACAATATTCATTCTAGTGGACAAAAGTTTGTTAAAATTGTGCACTTTTTTCATTTTATTAAAGAATTCAGGTTCTACGGGCTGATGAGTACCAACGAAATAAAATGGACCATATTTCTTCTTAGTTTGTTGAAGTTTATAAAAAGGAATCACTGTATGAAATTTCCTTCTTTCCCTTGTGTTTTTTTTCAAATTTTAGACTAAAATTAACCCGCCAAAACAATCATCTATTGAACAAGATAATCAAAATGATTCATTTAAACAAATTCAATATTGTTTAAGTGATAATATTGATGAAAGTAATAATACCATTCAACCATCATTATCATCCTCATCAGTAGTAGCAGCAGAGAATTTGCAGAATCAAACAGTCATATCTACTGAAACCCAATATGACTTGTCATCTTCTGATAATCAACTCACTTCAATACCTTCAAAATATTCTTCAACGACGACACAAATTGATACACCTATTAGCCGATTAACACAAACAATACCTATACATACTATCAATTCAGAACGCCAGCATAGTTTAACAAAACGTACAGGACAACGTCCACCTGTACTACCGGTTAGCAATAGATCTGATAAGAGATATCGAACAATCGCCATATCAACAACAACGCCACAACCACATCTAGCAAATCGTTCTGTCAGTAGAGGGGATTATTTACGTGCACATACACGTGATGTTGAAGATGACGTGGACTTGAAAATTTTGAGTAATATACCTATTACATCAATACATAAACAGGTGAATTCAGTTAAAACCTCCGTACCAAAAGCGGAATCAGCTAAAAATGTAAGTTCATGTGTGTGTGTGTGTGTTTCCAGTTGGATGGAATGGCACTCTTGACTAGTTCGTTTTCTTTTCATACATTTGGTTCCCTTGATAAATTTCGATAGAGAAAGAAAGACCAGATTTGCAGTATGAAATGGTATCATTCTATTTCACAGGTTCTCATCAGCTGCTGCAAACCTAACATTTCACATACTTCATTGTTTGAAAGATAATAGAGAAAACACTACAAGGTGAATGCATCTGGAATATAAGTATTATAATTTATAGTTTAAATTACCATCAATTTATATACTATCAAACTATGAAAAAAGAAAAAGTGGGGGAGTGTGAGAGAAGACAGAAAATAGAAAAATCTAACAAATAGTGTCAACATGGCAACTCAAGAAGGTCAAAGTTCATCAATTTGAAAACTTGCTTAGTGAGCTGAGCTCACTAGTGTATATGACTGATCAGTGTAATGAAAGTGATATGGTTACCAAGGGTGTGAGAGATTGACTGACTACACTGTCTTTCTGTATGCAAGTTTGTCTGTATGTTTGTATGTAAGTTTGGTCTGTGACGTTTGATTGCGATTGCTTCAGCAAATCCTAGTAGGTTCACTATCCTTTGTATGTTTAATATTTTGAAGGATTTGGAAATCTCAACAAAATGACCCCGAGGTATCCACAAGGTGTCTGGTATCTGATTGCACTTTGTAAATATCTGCTTCCTTTTAAGCATAAGTTTCTTGGAATATGATGCCGCAGGTGCACGTAAGTCTATAAATGCAGTTACTTATCCAGTTTCGATTTGCTTATACAGCATGTAGTGCTGTGTGGTGTCAACAGCCGACCGCAGGGAAGCATCTCTTTATTGCTCCCTTCATCCTCTTTTCAATCTTTTGTGATAATGTTTCTCCTTTGTATGGAGGGCAAATGAACACTTTCTTCTTTTCAACTGTTGGATACTTCACTTTCTCATATCTTTATTTGCTGTACTTTAGGATAAATCCTTTTGGATGCCAGTTTTCCTTAAGGCATTTTTCAACAAAAGCTTAATTCTTCTTCTACTTTGTTAGGTGAACATAACTTCCTGGCCCTGTTGTGCAGTGTCCTTACTAATCTCCGCTCATAGCTTATGAGGTAGAAGCTGTTCTAGTGGAGGTATTGTCCAGTCCAGGTTCCCTTTGTGTAGATGGAATTTTCAACCGTTCCATCGTTTCCTCTTTTTACATTTAGTTCCAGGAAATTTTCATAGTTTGATAGTATATAAATTGATGGCAACTTAAACTATAAATTATAATACTTCTATTCCAGATGCGTTCATCTTATACTATTTTCTCTATTACCTTTCAAACAATGAAGTATGAACTGTTATTATTTATAACCATTATGACTTCAGGCAGTGGTTTACAGCTGATGACAACCTGTGAAATAGAATGATGATGACATCATTTTATACTGCAAATTTTTTTTCTTTTCTTTTTTTTTTTGGTTATTTTTCCTCTGTGCACCAGAATTCGAAAAATTTGCTCTGTAGATACAATCAACTTAGAATTACAAAGCCTTTTTGTACAACTCTGTTAAATAATGGTTATCCTAGAAGGTGTATTGACAGGGGCGTCAAGAAAGAGACCGTGCTTAGCCAAATCACATTGTTGAAGAAGACACTGTTTATGAGTTTGGCGTTCGAAGATGACACTGTTGCTGAAGTTATTAAAAGTCGTTTACCTGAATGTATTAAATGCTCTTCTTATGCAGCTGACTTACATTTAGTATTTACCAGTCGAAATATGATTCGACAATGCGTCAAGGATAAACTACCACTTATCTCCCCCTCTAGGAGCATGTGAATACTCATTCACATGATCGTGTGGTGTGGAGCTGACTGCACTGGACGTTGTGAGCGTGTTCTCACTGAGTGGTGTCTCAGTGGACCACATAGTTAATGTTGTTATAGATAGGCACTTGATTTCGTGCAATAAATTTGCTAAAGGGATTTTGTCTGACTTAGAGCATCCACTTCACGCTCAGCTTTCACCTTGCATCTCCTCAGGTAGAACAAGGAGTAACTTCAGAAAACTGTATGCTCGCACGTCTAAGTATAGAAATTCTATGATACCATACTTGGCACGTATTTTATGTGATGAACATAGTATCAAGCAAGAATTAAGTAACCTTTTTTTATCTAGTAAATAAACAATTTCCTCAATCCATCCTTATATACCTTCGAGTTTTACTTTTATTATTTCTGTTATATTTATGGTTCTGTTGCTTCTTTGTTTTACTCTCGTAATTGCAAACACCAACTTATCTCTATGACTGCTGTAATCTTTGTTTTTCCCCTCATCATATCCTGTAAAGAGAACATTATATTCAATATTTTTAAAGATGATAGGATTTCTATACCGCATTGCCAATACTTTGCGAAACAAGTCCGTGGCAATTTTCGCTTGTATTATTATTACCTTAGCTGTTATCATTATTATTGCTATTTCCATTTGATATACTGCATTTTTTTGACATTACCCCTATTGTAAATGTGGAAAATTCTCTGTGTGAATAATTTTATTTATAATTTGAGGAAATTAGATGCAATATTGTGATTAATGCTGAAAATTCCATTCTGTATCACAAGTACTGTTTTTGGAATAAAGTAAATATTATTATTATTAAACGCGTAGCTCAACACTACCACCCTGTTTGGTTAATGAAAGGAGAGCAAAGGACGATATAGTCTTCACTCTGTGAGCACTTTGTGGAGTCAAGTCATTCAACCCCCCACACGTGATTTATCCCTCAAAGTTATCTACAGGACCGAATCCAATCACTCCAAAAGCTCACATTTTCTCCACTTATACATAAGCCAGCAGACGTTCTAGCTATACATGGACAGAAACATAAATTATGTATTCAAAAGTCGTTTTGTTAAACGCCTTTCTTTACCTTGGTCATAGTGGAGGTGGACATAAGCGTTAGTTTATCCTTAACGCATAGTTGAATCATATTTCGACTGATAAATGCTCTATGTAAGTTAGCTGCATAAAGACAGCGTTTAATAGAGCATTTAGTTAAACGACTTTTAATGACTTCGGCGAAAGTGTCACCTTTGGACGCCAAACTCATAAACAGTGTGTTCTTCAACACTGTGATTTGGCTCAGCACGGTTTCTTTATTGATATTCATTATTTAAAAGAGTTGTGCAAAAGTTTTCCAGTTCTGTATCGACCATATCTATAGAGTGAATTTTTCAAATTCTGGAGTATAGAGAACGGATTTCTTTTCCTACCTAGAGGTACGCAAATGTTGGCTTTCAACAAGTCGACCTTTTCAACATGCCATCCTCTCTTTTATCTAACATCACACTTAAGAAGTGAAAAGCGTCGATGGGTGAGAACCACTAAATTTTTCATATCGCTTAAACACATGAAAATTTGAGATTGTTTCTTTCAGATGAGTCAGGTACATAGGGATTTGGGTAAATTACTCTTTGCCTTGTAGATGACTTTAAAGGTGGAGGCTATAGAGACAGGGGGGTGACCATTATTGACCGAATGTTCAATGGTCGCACTTCTTAATACTGCTCCACTTCCACCTCTTCGTAACCATGCAGGATAGTGTTCTTGCACCCTCTTGCAGACTATTATATGTCCAATCCAGAAAACGGTCAGTTGAAGCCTACAATCCAAAGCTTTCAAATGTATAAAAGGTATGTAGATGACACCATTATTATTTGTAATAGTGGTTGTAACTTGAATAGTACATTAAATGTATTTAATGGTCGCCATCCTGCAATAAAATTCACATTCGAAATGGAGAACGAGTCTAGCATTCATTTCCTCGATATGAATCTATCAAGGAGGACCGATGGAACTCTGAAGAGATCTATTTATCGAAAGCTGTCATGGAATGGTCAACTGACAAGTTTCTACAGCTGGGTACCCATTAGTCAAAAACAAAACCTGGTCCAGTCGCTTGCCACTTGTATTCGGCGCATATTTAGCTCTGATACTGTGGAAAACGAGTTATATCTTTTGAGGGAAATCCTAATAGAAAATGGATTTCCACCACGTTTTGTAGATAAGAATATACATTCAAATCCCATAAAACGTGACGTATCATTCGTACCCAAGAAAATACTTTACATGAACTTGGAATTCAAAGGGGACTTAGCTTCCGATATCATGAAATGAAGGATGTCACAGTCCCTGAAAAGAAGATTCCCTGATGCATGGCTGAGAATAGCCTTTACTAGTCGACCATTACTTTTCAATAACCTGAAGGACAAGATTCCGCTGTTGACCAACTCTATGTGTGTTTATCAAGTCACCTGCTCGCTCGTGTGGAGCTAGGTATATCGGTCGTTCGACTCGAGTTTTGTCCAAGAGGGTGCAAGAACACTATCCTGTATGGTGGTTACGAAGAGGCAGAAGTGGAGCAATAACAAGCGCGATCATTGAACATCTGATCGATAATGATCACTCACTCTCTATAGCCTCCGCCTTTAAAGTCATGTGCAAGGCAAAATGTAAGTGTTTCTTTCAGTCGACCACTCTTTATCTTGGTCATAGTAATGTTTCTTTTCTATTTTAGTGTATTTTACCACTTGAATTTATTCCACTTCTTCACTTCATCTTCGCCGTCTTTAATGTTAACATTAGCATCGTCGTACTCTCAATTTTCGTAGACAACACTTGACCTACAATCTTAAAATCTTAATTCCGATTCACTTATTGAATAATCTTTAATAGTTTAGTAATTCATCCACTTCAACTCTACCCCCTCACAGTAGTACATCATTTTAATTATCTTCATTCTTATCATTATGTGTGCAAAATATTGACTGAGCCATTTATAGTCCCACTTAATGCCTTTTCTATTCGTACAGTTGGCTTGAAAATGGGGTCGTTGAAAAGAAATACTCTGTTTTTCCTTGTGCAGTGATTATACCTTTATTAATATATGTTCTCAACTTATGTAATTTTGTCAGCTGATAAAGGCATTAATGGGCTGACTGGTCGCAATGTAAGCAGGCTAAAATCAACTAATTAGAAAGACTGTAGTTTGCCTACACATGCATAGGCGGTTGGTTGACGTCTAAAAGTGGAATCTAGGATGCACATTTCGTTCTGCTTGGGATTCGTCAACTGAAGATACCTACCTCCACAGTAAGTGATGGTGTTCTCGTTAGAACTCGAACCCTGAACTGTGGTCAGTAAAAAAAGGATTGCAGAGAACAGAACAAAAAGGAGATAGGCTGTTGCGTCTCCATGTTCCACTCGGAGCTCTAGGGAAAAATAATAACAATCGATTGCCACTCCTTACCAAGCACCCGACGCCTAACCTCAATATTGCTTACCTTATTGATATGTACCCACATGATGTGTGTTTTGTTTTTGACGGTCTATTATATTTTGCTATGTGTATATGGATCGGTATTTCATTATAACTGACAATATGCTTTTGTCTGTCCACTAACTAAATAAACATGTATGACCTTGTTATCACATGACATTACAACCAATCGTGATAAGCTATCTTTCTATTGGTTCATGTGTATTAGCCATTTTCTATATACCTTTGTATCATATTCTTGTTTTCACTTTTCGTATATTCGTATCATTCCACTCACACCCTTGTGTGACATTTATTTTCCTTGTTTGGAAAATACAAGTATCATCGTAAACCTGGTGGTCTTCTGATTTCCCTCTTTCCGCGTCAGGACTATTAACTACTCGACGACTACATAACACTTATTAAACCACCTAACACGGGAGATAGAACTTAGGCACCTATGATCAAAGAAAGCTAACCAGCCAGTCTTTTCATGTCTTCAACTTTCAATGGCCATGTCTCATAGCCATTAGGGAGGATGGAGCGAAGTGACTGCTGAGCAGTACATACGTCCTTTGGTCGATAGGCGGATGTCACGTTTACGCCAGAGATGGCATGAGTTGGCTGGCAAATGCCAAACCAGCTTTTTTTTTTACTGTGCTGAGCTTTCGTCAACGATCAACCCGTTGGCGCTGGCTGACCAATGCAACTCCCTAAATAAGTGAAGTGGTCAACACGCCACACCAACCTTTTCACTTCTGTCAGTTTTTAAACTAGGAGTGAGCCGATGTAGTCGAGTCCAATTCCGTAGCCCCGCTATCTCACATCTAACTGGAGCGAAACGCATGCTAAACATTTGAAGATCACTCACTGCTCTAGTTGTTCAGAAGACTCTACTCTATTTTTTCAGAGTCTTCACCTAGGAGGAAGGACTATATCATTTGCATATTCCAAGTCAACAAGACTACTATTCCCTGGTGATGACAAATCAGTCCCTGAGTCTCTGAAGTGAGTTAGGGTTAAGTCCATTAGAACAATATCTATGATGAAATTAAAGACAAAATAGGACAGTGAGCATACCTTCCTGATAGATACCACTAGTTGCCACCACTTCAGATGACATCTCTCCGTAGGCTTTCACCTGACCGACTGTATGAGTTTGGGTAGAGTACCTTAATTAGTGCAGTGTATTTTCTCGTCATTCCCTTCGCAGAAAAACATCGTCATAGTACCTCTGGGTCAACGGAATCGAATCCCGTCTTTAGGTCAAGAAATATGACGATTTTTGGACGCTGCTAAGTTCGAGAATCTGTCGAAGGGTGGAGATATGATCAATTCACCATCTTTCTGGTCAACAGCCTACCTGATTTTCTCATGATGGTTCCTCCTAGCACCACTTAATCTACACATGATTACCGATTACTTTCAAGGTGGATTTTGCCAAAAACCGACCTTTGTTAGAAAGAATCACAGAAAATACGGAGGAATTGGTTTGTTTTTTCGTCATGGTTCTAGGAATCACGATCAGAATTACACTCACCTATGAACTAGATTAAAATCTGAAGGGTATATTTATCGATTTATTCTTTATTTTTCTTCTTTGTTTATAGGTTGAATTCATTCGACGTGATATTAATTTTGTACGTGCTAATGCTCATTTAGCCTCAGTGCCAAGTTTAAAAGGTACATCAGGAATTCGTAGAATATCTAGTCTGAACTCCTTATCGACATCGTCATCAGTATTAAATGACAAGGTCTATCCACAGCATAGCAGCGTTAATGATACAAAAATGTCAAAATCTGCGACATCATATAAAACAAAAAAAATGTGGCCTGAAAGACGTTTAAAAGTTGGTGTTATTCCACAATAGTAAGTTTAACAATAGTTTATCCTAAATTGTCTATTTCGCTACTTATTATTATTTCCTTGGGTTCCGAGTGGAACTTGGGGCTTCAACAACATATCTCCTCTTTGTGTTGTATTTTCTGCTCTCCTCTTCACCTGGTTGTGCTCACGATTGCCCGTAATCTGTCATCTTCTCCTCGTCCTCCCACGCACTGACCACTCACTCGTCGCTTCCTATTTGGGGTTGCACTCGAACACTGGCTTGCATTACTAAATGAATATGCTAAAAAAAAACTTGAAATAAATCAAATCCCTCCACCCCTACAAAATAACTCTTAAAAATTGATGTGATACTTGGTATATTGACTGTCAACAGGAGACGAAGTCGCCTACAGGTCTAGTGAGAAGTCTGGTTGGAAGTGAGGACGAATCCTCGCCAGTGATGACATTGACTGGCACCAGTCGATCTAAAATCACGAATCGGTAAAAGTAGGAATTCATGGGTTGGCCAGTGAGGAGTCGGGTCTCAGTGGCTGAATGATCTGTGAACTTGCTTTGTAACCAGAATGATCTCGATTCGAACTCTGATGGGTGCATACTGTCGAATGGTCCCAAACTTGGACGAAACAGTTGTCCAGTAGTACTTCGTGATTTTCGATGGTTAGCGCGACTACCAAATGTATTAACGGCCATATCAATTTTATTATCATAATAGTGTCGTATACTCGAAAACTAATCACTTCCTAGAATCAAATGAATCATCTTCTACTGTCAACTGTTTCCAGTTCAGATCATAGTATATGATCTGTTTGACGTGAATACTTTTCAACTATTGATATCAATTAATCTGTATGTTTACAACGTAGAACTTTGCACCCATGTGCTGCAGTTCAAGTCGCCACACTCCATGTAGCACATAAAGAAAGAGAAGAAATGCATACTAGAGACAGTAGACAGAGGTGTGAGACAAACGAATAGTAATAACGAAGAACAATATAGTTTCATTGGGTATTATAAGTCACAAGGAGTGGATGCATCTGGGCCAACCATTGAAAACGATTTTGAGCCATATCACCAACTGTCTCCAGTCATTGATGTTTACCGTCCCGAGGACCCCAACGAGGAAGTTTACGCCTCTGTACGTGACTGGCTGGCTTAAACTAACTGTTGTGGATTTCACAGACTGGGGCCATGCTTTGAATTGACCACCGCTATCTCTTTTACAGCCTGACCTTATGTCAGCTAACACTGCCTATTGTTGAGGAAGGCCATCGATGGCTAGGGATGCATGAGTAACCCATGTCCTAACCATCTGAGTCGATGTAGCTTCACAGCCTCGTCGATTGATTTCCCCTCATTACCTACCACTCGACGCCTAACATCAGTATTCCTCACGTTATTAAACCACTTCACACGGGAAATAGATGGCAGACACCTATGATCAAAGACATCTAGTTGGCCAGTCTTTTCATGTTTTCCATTTTCAATGGCTATGCCCCACAGCCATAAAGATGGACGAGGCGGACTGCTGAACAGTACACACACCCTTTGGTCGATAGGCGGATATCATGTCTACACCAGAGACGGCGTAAACTGGCATATGCGAAACGGGTCTTTTGAGTTCGTGCACAGATCTCGTCAGCGATCAACCATTTGGCTCTAGTTGATGCAACTTCCCAAATAAGTGAAGTGGTCACGTGCGTCGGTGGCGCAGTGGTTAGGACTCTCGCCGACCACCCACATGGTCCGGGGTTCTAGCCCACGCCGACGCACACCTGATATCTATGGTCGGCCTGCGAATTCTGGGCTACCGGTATCCATGCTGAAAATTCCATACTTGTACCAAAAATACAGTGTGGAATCAAGCTGTAATCAAAAATAAAAGAATAAAAAAATACTTCACCCCCTATTTCTAAACTAGGAGTCAATGTAGTCCAGTCCTGTAGCATCATCTTACATTTGGCAGGAGCAAATCACATGCCAAACATTCGTAGATTGTATCTCTGAAGACTCTGCATTTGCATTTAGTCAGTGTCTTCACCTACGAGGGATGACCATGTCGTCTGCATATTCTAAGTCAATAATATTATTCCCGGAAAATAAGACAATCTATGAGTCTCTGAAGTGAGTTAAGGTAAAGTCCATTAGTACATCTATGATGAAATTGAATAGAATATATCAATTAATCACTAGTATATAATTGATGGATGGTGACTAGCAGTGGAATCCAGGATGAAGCGCATTTCGTCCTATTTGGGACTCGTCAGCCAGTGGATATGCCTGCATTCCCCAGTGAATGATGATGCTCCCAATGAGGCTGGAACCCAGCACCCATAGTTTCAAACGCAAAAGTGTCATCCACTGGACCACTTATGCCATGAGAGTCACCTCTTGTGCAACGGGTCACATTAATTTTAATTGAGTTTTAGATTTAAGGAAATGTAGGTGAATGCAGCTGACGAGTCCCAAATAGGACGAAATGCGCCTTATCCTGGATCCCACCATTCACCAATTTAATTCAAATTAAGTGCCCAGACATCGTTGGAGCGTGTACACAAGAAGCCGACATGTCAACCTGAGACCGAGCACTTCGGTCCAATCAATCGACAGGAAAATCTAAGATTTAATTGTAATCACTAGTATGTTTGCGTAAAGCTAATTATCTTACCCTTCTTGTCGTTGTTTAATATTTTAGTATTATAAAAATGCGCCAACAAGAAGAAGAACGTATTCAAAAAGAGTTAAAAAACCAACCTGATCCAGATCAACCACCCGGACATCAAAGAATGCCAGAACAGGAACGTCTAGATACATTGGAAATGTTGAAGAAAGGTAATTTACCTAAAATTAAGTCAATTTATATATTTGAATATTTTTGTGTTACATGAAAGGCATATACATATATGGGTGAAGTTAAACAATAGCGTCCTGGTGGTGCAAACGCCCCAGTGACCTTGAATGGATGCTAATCATTGGCTAACGACACCTGTAATTATTCTAGCGCAAATATGAATGCTGTTTATCACCTGAGGAGCGAATTTCACCCGGATCATATCTTTAAAAACTGTTTGGATAGTGGATTGATAGCACATAATCGCAGATGTAGTTGTGGTGCTTCAATGAAACTACAACCGTATTCACAAGTTATTGATGGATATATATTTAAGTAGGCAAGCCTGCATTACTCTCAAGTCTGTGTGGAGATCAACAGCACTACTCAGCATGAAAAATCAGATCCGGATTTTCAACTCCAATGTGAAGTCAGTGCTACTTACTATACGGATCAGAGACTTGACACCACACTACTAAGGCCACTTCGAACAAACTACATACTTTCATCAACAGCTGTCTTCGCTCAATACTACTCAAGATCAGATGGCCAGAAAAGATGAGCACCACAGGGATCTCTTGGAACGAATTAACCCGGCAGGAACCAATTGTGCACCAAATATGCAGGAAGAAATGGGGTTGGATTACAGGTCATACTCTGAGGAAACCATCAAGTTATATCACACGTTAGACTCTTGAATGGAACCCGAATGGGAATCGTCGAGAGGGCAGACGTGGAGCCAGGTGATGAAAACGTTGGCAGAGAACCGAATGCAATGGAGATGTGCGGCTGAAGCCCTATGTTCCTCTAGGAATACAAGGAAACAAATGTATTTAGGTGCACTTAGTGTAGGAAACGGACGAGTGTTCGTACTGGTAAGTTACACACACAAGTTCATTGTTTTCTAGGAATTTTCTTTGCCAGATTGAGACTTCCTTTGACGAATATACTGTTTCTATGCCATTGCTGGATATTGAAGTCTGGAGTAAGATCAACAGCCGTTCAGATAGAAAGTAGCTTGATGTCAACTGTACAGCGGTTTCAGTATTGCTGAGATTTGCCTCCTGGGAGTTAAAATAATGTTACTGAGGTGTTGACAGGAGTTGGTTTGATTGTTCACATAGACGAAACAGTGTTCATGACGGAGAAATGCAGTCGTGATTGCACTAGAGCTAACAACTTTTGGGTAATGGAGGTGATTCCAGACTGCAGTACCGACACTCTTCTACCTACTATTCAAATTCTGGTTATCCCTGAGACCACTGCTATCCACACTGATGAATAGGCGGGATATAACCGCTTGTCGGACCTGAGATATATACACATTATTGATTTAACTATTCGGTGATTTTGCCGACCCTACAACTTGCACTCCTACTAATTCAATAGAGGGCTTCTGGGGTAGACTGAAGAATAGGATAAGAACAATGTACAGCTATCAAAACCAACTTATTCTTAGTCAACTTGATGAATATATTTTTTTAGAAATTGGTTTAATTTAAAAACTGAAACTTCGCATTTTAACTGGGACGCGTATTTTTCAGCCATATCAGAGAAAAGTACTCTTTTTTTAAAATGTTTTCATGCATTTTTCTTGTAAATAAAGCTCATTTTGTGCAAAAATCCCTCATTTTTATGATTGGTCGGCTCAAAGTCACTCCTGCGTTTGCATCCCGTTTGGGAAGCTATTGTTTAACTTTGCCCATATATTTATATATATTTCATTCGTATACTTCTGGTGTACATCAGCTGATATGAAACATGTCAGATATCCAACTATCAAGTGAAGTTGTCTAAATATCTGTGTACACTTCCCTGATGGCGATTCCACTCTGTTCTTTACAGTCGCCTTCAACTGACTTTACGATTATTTCACAACCTTTCATTCCTTTCATGTCACCTTTGGACGCCCAACTCATCGTGTTTCCAGTTCACATTTCACTTGAAGGCCTGGAGCTTTTTATTTCACTGAAGGTTTGGTTAATAAATGCCAGATTGGTTTTGATGCCTGCCAAGGTTGCTTGTTGTTAATCCGCTACGGCATGCAGTGCTCAAGTCTTTATCAACATTATTCAACAACTGGCTGGCTATATGACAATGCCTCCTGCCACGTGTCAGGTGATGATCCACAACGGAAACTTAGCGAAGCCTGACTTTTAAGTGAATACAGGAATAAGACAAGTCTGGCTGTTCCTCATCACCAGTGGTATTCTTAATTTTTGATTTTTTTTTATTCTTGATTACAGCTTGATTCCACATCGTATTTTTTTTTGGTACAAGTATGGAATTTTCAGCATGGATATCGGTAGTCCATATGAAGCAGGCCGACCATAGATATCAGGTGTGCGTCGGCAGGAGATCGAACCTCGGACCATGTGCATGGTCGGTGAGAGTCCTAATCACTGTGGTGGACTGACTGGATTATGCGTCAGACTGTGCAGAGAGAGGGAATGTGTGTGTGTGTGTGTGAGAAGACAGGAATATAATGGATCAACGAGAAGACTGTTGAAGATCTGAATTTCACCTATGGATGATTTATGTTTACTGCCACAAAAACAAACTCGGAGACTCACAGGCAGGCAGGTAGGCAGGCGAAAACCAACAATCTAGCAAAAGATGTAGGCAGGTAGGGAGGCAACGAAGACCGGACTGACTCCAAGTGAACATAGAGAAGATGGAGACGGAGGTGATAAAGAGAATTAACCAGCCCCAAGCAACAGCAGCCAGCATCAGCACCAATCACCATCAACGGGAGGGACACAGGTTACTTCTCGCATTCACTTACCCCTAGGCAGACAGGAAGCCAGCACGGTTTCAACCAGAGGTAGGTAGTCGGGCAGCACTGGTGAAGATGTCAAAGTCAGTCAGTTAGAATCCAAAATAGGCAAGATACGCCTTGATCACTCTCAGACCAGATTGGAAATTTTCTTCTTCACTCACTCACTCAGCCAGCCAGCCAGCCAGCCAGTTAGTCAGCATAAACAACAAGGTGTCGATTCTATTCAACATAATTATGATGTCAGCCAGTCAGTCAGTCACGAGAAGGATTTCTAACAGGCTAGTGCAGACTTTAATCAATAGCTGCCCACTTCACTGGCTCCATACTGAAGATTAAATGGTCAGCAGGCCAGAAAGTATTAGCGATAAGAAACTCTGGCGACGAATAAATCAACGAAGTGCCTGCCGACTGTTCAACAAGTATGTAGGAGAAAATAGAAATGGATCGAGCACTGGACACTGAGGAGACCGTCGAATTAAACTGCTCTCGGTGCAGGCCATTCCTCGAAGCGGAACACCCGGAAGAAGGGATGAGTGTGTGTGTGTGTGCGTCGTCAGAGCGTGAGTGAGAGATAAAGGAAATGAGAGATTATGGGGAATCGTAGCCCCAGGCAGCTGAAGCGGAGAAGGCAGTAGAAAATAGAAGAAAGCGGATATGTGTTGTTGAAGCCGTATGTTCCACTCAGAACCTAAGGAAATAATAATTAGCTTATCTTATACATTTTCTTTTCTCTAACTTTTATTGTTTTTCTTGCATACAATAACTTTCGCCTCTCTCTCTCTCTCCCTCGCTTTGTATACACAGCTCATCAACAATTATTAGAAGAATTTTCCCATCTACCAATACGTATGGATACGTTGAGAATACGTACAAGGCGAGCAGAGATTGAAACACGTTTGAGTGAATTAGAACAGGCTATTGAAATATTTAATAAACCAAAAGTATTCATTAAACCTGATTAAGCAAAATGGCACACAAAGAAACATAAAGCCAGAAAAATGGAACAATAATTTAAACTATATTCATCACTTGCCTACTTATAAATACAATGAATGGCTGTATTAAAACAAGAGAGACCGGGGAAACCAGAAGGTAACTCGTAGATCATTCACCCACCCAATTAGGTGTGTAAACATGAGTATCATTTCATAAGACGCTAACGTTTGAGTAGATTTTTGTTTGTTTCTTTTTTTTTGTGTGTGTAAGACTCCTCGTCACTATCATTTAGCCTGTATACTTCCTTTCGTCTTTATTCATATCATTTTTAATATACATAATATGCATGATACCTGCTTCTCTAATGTCAACATCAAACCAAATGACCAGTATCTCTCTACTTCTTTTATGCTCCTACCTCTATACAATATGCCTTTGAAATGTGAAAAAAGCAACAACAAATAAACAACAACAGTGTATGTGTGTATAGTTTGTAAGTAATTTATGCAGTTTAAAGACACACAGGATTTCAATGTTTCAATTCTTCCATTTTATCATAATATAGACAATCAGGGAATATTGTTTTGCAAAGAAGCAAATAAGTGGAATATTTTAAAAATATTTATCAACAGAATAAAAATCTTCGTTTTTCTACTTTTTAAAAGTTTATTTTATTTCTTAACGAAAGAACGAAGAGCGAAGTATTATATTATTTACATACACGTTTTGTTTAAATCGACCGATTTGTTAATCTCAAGGTCAGGCGGTTATTTCAAGTTGATCGTGAATTTTAAATTGGTTATTCTATGAATTCTAGGTGAGGTGGTGTTTTTGCGCATAATGTAGGAAACACCACAATAGATATTTCAGCTGCATAAAAAGTCTCATAGAATATCTTTAAAGCAGCTAAACATAACACCTAATGTGATGATTACATCATTCCTCTAAACACTTAATGCAAAGTTGATATAAGTATAAAAATTGGGCTCTGTGGTAAAGTATAACTCCATTATGGATAAGATTTTATTTGATAAATAACACTGTGTGATTTATCGAAATAAAATCTTATCCATAATGGACTTAATGCAAAAGCCAGTTACCTGAGAAGGTTGAAAGTTTGAATAAAGCAAGAACAACAACAGTGGTTTGTGCAGAATAAAAAGATGGTACCATCATTGTTTATATTTCGTTGGCTTCTCATCAGTTGCTGTTTACAGCCTCAATAGATTATGAATTTTATGTACAAAAAAGTTTCAACATATTTGCAAATTTTACTTGTTATCAGTTGACAGAAAGTTCCACAATTAGTGAACAGTGCTCAGAAAATCATACTTATATAGTTTTTACGCAGGCAGTTCAGTTTAAAAAAATAAATGTATGCATACAATGGTAAAGGAGTTACGTAATAAAGACGAGAGATGCGTAAGATGCTGAGTGACTAATAAATTAGGTAACAATGCACTAAGTTCAACTCGAATCATCGAAACAAGAGACAAGAAAAATTACAAATTATAAAAGGGGGTGAGGTTAAAGCCAAAGATCACGTAATCTGATTACGTAATCAAATGAAAGAAAGAATAAAGACATCCAGTTACCAGATGGGCAAGGAAAGACTAACAGCTGCTTCTTTCTGAACATATGAATCTGGTTTCAAGCGTTTGATAGAAATTACTTCGACAAACTAGATGAGAATCGAGCTCCTTTGTCTATTGATAATTTTAAAGGATTTCGCGATTTCCACCTCATAACCCGTATCGAGGAGATATCTGGTAATAGCGCTATTATAAGAGTTTGTTCCCTTCAGACGTAGGCTTTTTGGCACATGTTCAGAAAATTGGAGGTGTGTCCTTCTTTCTATTCTCCCAATATAACTGCTCCCGCAGATTGAAAGTGTAATCAGCCGTCTCCATTCTACCTATCCGGGCGAAGTTAAAGTATCATAGCCGAAGTCAAGGTCTATCAAGAGTCGATCTTCTAGAAGCGATTAGATACAGGGAACGTTGTAAGATTTCATTCCAAAACGAATCACGCTTGCCATTTTGTATTTGGAGAGGGTAGATACAGTATTCTACTTATTTACTAGGTACTTTTTCTGCAAATCTATACTGTTAGATAGGATTATGGCGTTTACGATTAAGGTTAGGTTTAAATTTAGGGTTACAGTTAGAGTTAGGAGTGGATTGGAGAAGTGTCAGAAATACCAACAGATCTTAAAGTACCATGACCTACAGTCATCTGAATGAGTGGATATATTGCGCATGGTACTATTTCTCAATAAATTATCTACTTTTAGTGACTGGGAGACATTACTACAACACATAAGCTACAAATATACTGTGTAATACCATGTTTCCAATATTTTTTAGTGCATTTTTCAACGATTATGAGAATTTCTTGTATCTGAATTCTGATTGGTTATCCAAGGTCACTGTGGTTTTGGTTACGGTAGTTTAACTTTGCTCCTATTCAAATATACTGAGATGAAAGCGCGCCAAGTTTGGTTTGCAATAATCTATATCCTCGACCAACAGGCGTAGATTTAAAAGGTTATATGAATTATATAATAAAAAAAACCATTCAACAAAGACTACTCGTTTCGTAATTTCCCTTCAAAGTTGTACAGATAATGTTCTAATATATATTGTGGCGAGAGCTGTCTGCAAGCCAAAATTGCAGACAGCAATTTATATCAATGCTACGTCCCGAATCCAGATCATGAGAAAAAAACAGTAACAAAGCTTAACCAACCAATCACAGAAGACTTAGCGTGAGCAAATACGATTCGCAGATATATGTTCTGACTTTCTAAAAAAACGGTCACAAAGAGATGACAGAATAACCTTCAGCAAGAAAACAACCAATCAGAAGACGTTGCTACTCTGTTGACATAAAAATCTATAAATATCTCTTGCCTGGCCCTTGTCTTATGTCGTTACAATATGAATTTGTAGTAAACCATATGAAATGACATATCAAGGGAAATAATTAGCAGAATTATGAAACTTAGCCAAGTAATTTTACATCTTCTAATACCTCTCAAGAAAGACTGTCATTAAAAACTATCAGCTCATGGAAACAGGTATATTGTCCATAGGAGTAAGACATTCAGCATATGTAAAAAGTATATTTTTAAGTTAGGAGTTTACTGAACACAGCTGTAAAGGCTGTTAATAAGATATAGCCAAAAGTTGGTAAAAACCAGTAGATTTCTACTACCTCAATCGAACTGATTAACGCAAGAAGACTGATTACAGCGAGCTCAGAATATGATTAGGGGCAAAAGCTGTTCAACCGTTAACTAACAAGAAGTTTTCGCAACGACCATGAACAGTGGTGGGTGATAAAAGCGAAAGAGATGGAAAAGGCATCAGTGATACGGAACACCAGACAATTACTTAGAATTATCAGGGAAACAGGTGGCATAAGGTAAGTGATAAGTGAAACAATCTCTGCGGAAAATGGCGCCCCTTAATTAGCTCTCAGGATAGACGACCAGAATGTTGGAAAGAACAGTTTGAGGAGCCACGCCCAACTTACCCAGCATCTTCCTGAATGTGATATAAACAGGTCCTCCGCCCTAACTGAGGTTACAAAAACTGTCTCTAGTCTGAAACAAGGCAAAGCAGCGGGACCTGATAGAATGACTCCAAAAGTGTTTAAGGACAGCGGAGACAGTTTACTGTCTGCGTTAACTAAAGTATTAGACAGTGTCCTGAAATTAGAGGTCCCGGTGGGCTGCTGTATGTCATTGATTATCCCGATATATACAAGAAGGGAGACAAGTTTTCCTGTGATAATCACACATGGATTAGCTTGACTAATACGGTATCTAGATTTCCACGCCCAATATTCATGCGTAGATTAAGCAGTGCTCGGAAGAAACAAACACGAGAAAATCAGGCACGCTTTAGACCAGGAAGAGGGCTTGTTGATCATATCTTATCCTATCGACAGATTCTCGAATATAGGTGTAATTACTAGCGTCCAACAGTTGACATATTTCTTGACTGAAAAACAGTATTCGATCCCTTAGACCGAGAGGTACTATGGTAATGTTTGACCGTGAAGGGAATGCCGAGAAAATACACCGCGCCAATCAAGGCACTACTCGAACTCATGCAACCAATCATATAAGAGCCTTCGGAGAGTTGTCATCTGAAGTGGTGACAACCAGTACTTTCCGTCGGGAAGGGATCCCCACTGTCCCCATTTCTCTTTAATTTCATCATAGAAGTATTAATGGACTTAACGCTAACTGACTTCAGCGACTCACAGATCGACTTGTTACCACTAGGGGATAGTATTTTCACTGACTTAGAAAATGCAGATGATAAAGTCCTCCTTCCTAGGTGAAGACGCTGACAAAATAGAACAGAGTCTTCTGAAAACACATTGAGCACTGAGCAATCTTCGAATGTTTCGCCTGTGATTTGCTCCTATCAAATTTAAGGTGATGCTACAAGACTGGACTGGACTACATTGACCAACTCCTAGCCTAAAGATGAGCAGGAGTGAGATGGTGTAGAGTGTTGCATGAGCCGACCAACGCCAACGGGTTGATCGTTGGCGAAATCTCAGCACGGATACAGAAGGCTCGACATATCTGGCGTAGACGTGATATCCGGCTGACTGTCGACCAATTGGCGTGTGTACTGTTCAGCAGTTCATTCTGTGCTCCTTTCCTGCTGTCAATGAGATATGGCCATTGAAATTGGGAGACATCTCTGTATACAGAAAACGTTCGTTCAATCCTGTTAACATTCACGGTCTTAACCCCTCTGTGCTTTAGTATGGTAATCCCCATCTCATACTTTGGCTCTACCTATTTTTTTCATTTTGTCTATTCAATTTGTATTCCATTCCTTATTACGTCAATTGTTACTACTATTACTATTCTCAATCTGAATAGTTTCTGATATTATTTCACTCGTTCCACTTATCATCATTTTAAATTGACTTTGGTTTTCAACGTTAAATTCTATGTTATCAAATTCCACGCGATGTTACGAGACGTTTTTATTTTTATTCTATTTGCCTACTAATCCCATAAGTGCACATTCCTACCAGGTCCTATACATCCTATAAATTGTTGTATACATGACATTTATTGTTGTGCCACTTGACATTTAACTAACCACTGTGCGTCGTTGGCACAGTGGTTAGGACTCTCGCCGACCATCCAAATGGTCCGGGATTCGAGCCCACGCCGACGCACAACTGATATCTATGGTCGGCCTGCGAAATTTGGGCTACCGATATCCGTGCTGAAAATTCCATATTTGTACCAAAAATACAGTGTGGAATCAAGCTGTAATCAAAAATATAAAATATAATTTCAAGTGTTGGTTTGTAGGGATTTGACTGATTGGTTACAGGATCTCATCATGAGCTGACACATCGGTTAGAGAACCATTTGAAAACCAGCTGCGGGTACTGGAAAGCCAACTGTCTGATCAGCATAGTTTGGGACTCTTCGGTGAAACGCACCCACAGGGATTCGAACCCAAGACTTTCCGATTATAAGTCAAGCTACCTCGTAGACCATTAAACCACTGGGATCCGCCAATCTAATAGCGAGTCAGTTCATGGATTACATCTTCTGCCGATTCACGACATAGCGCTCGCTAGCCAATTTCAACGCTAGAGAGTATTTTTCCTCATACCTCACCTGGTGCACCCTACTGGTCACGACTTCCCACTAGAACCCACCAAGATCACTACCTACCTGAATAGGGACAGTCGCTAGTGGGCATCTCATTGATATTTCAATTTTAATTATACTTCATACTACTATTATTATTATTTTATGCATTCACACCCATGATTCAATTTCCTTACCAGATACAATTTTTGAAAAAAGACGTTCTTAATCGTATATAGATTTTTTTAGATTTACAGCTTGATTCCACACTGTATTTTTGGTACAAGTATGGAATTTTCAGCATGGATATCGGTAGCCCAAATTCTGCAGGCCGACCATAGATATCAGGTGTGCGCCGGCGTGGGCTCGAACCCCGGACCATGTGCATGGTCGGCGAGAGTCCTAACGACTGTGCCACCGACGCATAAACATATATAAGATTAAGGTCGCGCTATTCAGCGAAGAGACTCTTTTCAACAACGAATTTATTATCAAGCTGTACAATCATATATATATATATATATATATCGTTTTTTCTAAGTTATATCCGGTGAGAGAATTGAATCATAGGTGTGAATGCATAAAATAATAATAATAGTATGAAATGCAATTAAAAGCTAAAATGTTTGTGATTATAATTATAGTTCAATGTCAATTGGCAAAACAGTTAATGTCATATATAGAATAATTCATAAGATATATAAATGTTGGAAGGGGTGTTGTGAAATTATAGGATTAGTGGGCAAATAGAATAAAAATAAAAACATTGTGTGAAATTTGATAACATGGTATTTAACGTTGCAAAACAAAATTCAATTAGAATGATACGTGGGATCAGTGAAATAATATTGGGGACAGTTCAAAGTGAGAATAGTAATCGTAGTAACAATTGACGTAATAAAGGATAAGTAAAAAATTGAATAAACAAAACGAAAAATTGGTAGAGCGGAAATATGAGATGGGGATCATCTTACTTTAGCATAAAAAGGCCTAAGACCATGTGAGCTGGAGTATTTGAACAAACTTTCGCTGTAGACAGAGATCTGCTTTTTTTCTGTTTCTATGGCCAAATATGGCTTCAGGAATACAGGTGGGTGATTTGTGAGAATTACTTTTCGCCTTCCACATTAATTTGTTTATTAGATGTATCACAAAGTGAAGAAACAGTATTATTTACTTGACAAAGTTTCGAACAAAAATTTATTGTTCATAATCATATTTTCAATTATAATCACACGACTTCGAAAGTTGAGTTTTATAGTTTTCTTTGTCCTCTCCTATTTGTCGCTGTTGGGGTAGTAGAATTCTCCGGATGTCAGGGTGGACAGGTGTTGAATCATTCCTAGTACGCGTACTCTCTTCAGTTGATTCGATGAATAAAGCTTCCATTATCAATCTCTCCCTCCACCCTGTTATATTAGATTAGATTATAGAACTGTCATCTTATCCAATCGCATCATCCTATTGTATAGTTAGTTGTGTGTAATTGCATGTAGTGGGTGCTATAGCTGAACTAACTATTCTCCAGGTTTCTTATCTTATTCAGGTCAACTAATCTAGATTTTGCTGCTAGGTTATTATGTTCCGCTTGTCTGACTAACTGACCGACAGCGTTCTGCTACTTTGACCTATGTATTTGACCTGACAATCATTCCAGCAGGGTAGTAGATAAACTAAATTGTTTTGTTTTAATGGCTCTACAGGATCCTTTAACCGATAGAGCTTGTTTCTAATTGAGTTTGTGGGTTTGCATGCTACTTTTATTCCTGCCTTGTTGAGAATTCTGCGTAAGGCCTCCGAGGTTCCTTCCTTGTATGGAATTACTACTGATGATTTAGATTCCTTATTGTTGGTGTCGTCATTAATATTATTATTATCACTATTATTATTACCATTATTATTGTTATCATTATTATTATTATTATCACTATCTCTGTTATCATTATTTATTTTTACATTTACTTACATATTTCCTGACTAGCTTATCCGGGTAATTATTTAGTTTCAAGGCTTTTTTTATGTGTATCACTTCTTGTCTTGGATTTTCCTTGGTACTACTTAGTTTTTGTGCTCCATCACTTAAACATTTCATCAATCCTATTTTTACTGACATAGGATGGGATGATCGGAAATCCAAATATCTGTTTGAATGTGTGGGTTTCCCGTAAACACTAGTGTGATAACAGAATCTTTGTCTATCGAATCAATTGCAAATACGTGTAATAGGAATGGATCAACACCTGTCCACCCACCCACCCTGACATCCGGAGAATTCCACTAACCCTAAGACGACGAATAAGGAAAAAACTAAGTCTCAAGTTTCGAAGTCGTGTGATTATAATTGAAAATATGATTATGAACAATAAATTTTGTTCGAAACGTCATCCAGTAAACAATAATACTGTTTCTTCACTGTGTGATACATCTAATAAACAAATTAATATGGAATTACTTACCACGTCAATGCCCTGGTTTTACACCTACATTAACATTTCGTCGTGTAAATGGCTTCTTTAAAGGCGAAAGTTATACAGATCACTATCAACGAGATGTTCAATGATCACTCTTCTTATTGCTCCACTTCCACCTCTTTGTAACCCGCATGCAGGATAGTGTTCTTACACCCTGCCATATTTTCGCACCCCTTCCAAGTTCTATACACCTTATGAATTATTCTACATATGACATTAATTGTTTTACCACTTGACATTTAACTATGATTATAATCACAAATATTTTAATTTTAGTTGAATTTCATACGGCTATTATTATTATTATTTTATGTATACCTACCTATGATTCTATTCCTCACCGGATATAATTTCTTAAGAAAAAGGTATATAGGTATACGATTGTACAGCATGATAACAAATTCGTTGTTGAAAAGAGTCTTTTTGCACTTGTAGCGGTAAATAATTCCCCGAAATTATTGACCATAGGAATAGATTATGTCTAAGGGAAGAATTACATCGTGACCATAGGAATCATCAGTGAACAACATTGGATGCTGACCCTTAGAGTTTTTAAGTCGACTTGTTTAGCTGAAGGCTTCCGGTCAAGTATCCCCACCGTTTGGTACTCCGTCGTGTCACTTTCGTGCACGATAACAAGCCAGCTTAGCTTCCGCTTCAGTCCGCTGTCTGTCTGGATTCAACATAGAACTTGACACCGAAGTGCACCAGTTCGAGTTGCCACCTTCCAAAAAGCACACAGAGGTAGACAAGAGGATGAGTGAAGAGAATCAATACAGTCGGACAAGTATAAGAGTGAAACAGAATGGGTAATGGTAGAAAGGAATATGAAAGATTACAGAGACTGAATACATGTGCGCTGGCCATTGACAACGATTTTGAGCCATGTCACCGATTGTCTCCAGCCATTGATTCCTAGAGTCCCGAGGGCCCCAACCCGGAAGTCTTCATCTCCCTCCCTACCTGACTCAGTTTAACTGTCAAGGATTTCATGGATTGACGCCATGTTTTTGTTTGGCCACCACTTACTCTTTTCAAACCTGCACGCACCTATATCAGCTAGTAATGCCCGTCGAGGGAGGCGATGGTTAGGCATGCGCAGCACGTGACCTAGCCATCTCAATCTATGTAACTTTATAGCATCGTCGATTGATTTTCCCTCTTTGCCCAACACTTCAGTCCGCTATTTGGTTCCGAAATATATCTCGTAATTTGGACAATGAATTGTGGTGTTTTGCTTTTCCTTTGGGTACACGAGAAACAAATAATACAGAAGTTAAATAAAGTATAATTATATTTCAATAGTTTACACACAATGATAGGTTTTGTTATTGGTAATATTTCGAGCAAAATTACCAATAACAAAACTTACCATTGTGTGTAAACTATTAAAATATAATTATACTTTATTTGATCTAATCCACAATGCCTAAAACTTTTACTGATATTAATATAGAAGTTGTTGGTATAAGATCTTGCGTTAATATTATTATTATTATTATATCCTTTAATTCCTAGAGGAACATAGGGCTTTAGCTGCACGTCTCCATTGCCTTCTGTTTTCCGCCAACTTTTTCACTCCGCTCCAAGTCAGCCCACTGCTCCTACAATTCGCGAACGTCTATACCGTCAGCCCTAAACACTGAAATCCGCCTGTAATTGATTTTCTAAAAGTTACTCAACAATAAAATTTTAAATATTAAACATAATGCATCTAATAAAAAAGACGAAAAAATTGAAAAAGAAAAAAGGGAATCGAAAGGCAAACGCAAGCAACAACACAGATAGGAAAGAAAAATATTAAACTATTATTATTATTATTATCATTATTATTATTTGTTCATTTCAATGACAAGTTTCCCGCGTACACCTTTTGCATACAATCGATTGAATGCTTTTGGTACATCCATGAAATTATACACTGTATCTATTGGGATAATTAATTCTCCGTTAGATAACAGTGTTAGCATGGCTTGTAAAGCTTTACGATTTGGTTTAAAAAATGCCCAACGTATTATATTACAATTATTCAGTGAAGTAATACTATCACCGGCTTTGACAGAGAATGTCGCCGCTAGCTTTGTACTTATCAACTGGGTAAATGCTAATCCTGTGCCAAGAAATGGTCCCCAATAATCAGTTAAGTGTAATAAGGATGGATTAAGCATTATATAACGTGATTGATTTGAAGATGTATTTAGGTAGGATAGAGTAGGTGGTATATAAGGGAGAATATTATTGAGTAAAGTATTGGAGGATTGTTTATTGGTCGATGATGAAGATGAGGTGGACGACGCGGAGGACGAAGGCGAAGAAGACGAGGGGGAGAATGGTGTTGCTGTATTGATGTACTCTGGTCGAATACAATCAAGAATTAAATCATATTTTAATGTGTTAGGAATTTTGGTTGGATAAGGAAATACCTAAAATGAAAAGAAGAAAGAAAGAAACAAAGGTGATTAGAGACACACATTAAGACGAATAACAAATCAGCGTGATATAAAATCCCCATCCAGGCATTAATGAGAACAAAACACGTAAATCAGCGAAAAGTCTCTTTTCGGCGAATTCATTTTCTTAGCTGTACAATCGGGTTATTTTGTATGTATGTGTACATTAAGTTTGTCAAACAAAATTACAGTTGTATGGAGGATTTCACCATGAGCTGACATCAGTTAGAGAACCACTGGAAAACCAGCACTGGAGTACTGCCAGACAGCTGTTTCGTCCTAGTTTGGGACTCTTCAGCAGTACGCACCCACACCATGGGGTTCGAACCCAGGACTTTCTGGTTACGAGGTGAGCTAGCTCGTAGACCATTAAGCCACTGGGACCTGATCCAATGGCCCATGAATTCTAACTTCTGCCAGTTCACGGCATAGCGCAAACACTTCACAATATCTTCTTCGATGAGTTACTGCCTCATCGTCGACCTGCTGTACCCTACTGGTGGCTCAATGGTCTACGAGCTCGCCTTGTAACCACAAGGTTCTGGGTTCGAAACACGGTGGGTGCGTACTGATGAAGAGTGCCAAACTGGGACGAAACAACTGTCCAGTACTCCCAGGTTTTCCAGTGGTTCTTTAACTGATTTCAGCTCATGGTGAAACTCTCCATACAATCAAACAAAATCCCTACAAAACCAATACTTGAAAATTACAATTGGTTAAGGTTATTTTAACTAAACAGGTGAAGATTGGTAATACAAGTCAAGAAAATTAGGTGTTAATGAAACTAGGGTAGTAACAAAGGTGATGAGTTGTCACAAACAGTTGTTAAAAGAAGTTATGTAATCATATGAATAGTTTTTTTTTATTTTGATGACTTAATTTTGTTTTTTTGCCTGTTCTTTAATCGCTTATAATTCTTGTATTCAGTTAGAACTCTTACGTAATTTCGTATTATCTACTTTTTTCCATATGAGCATCCTGAGTAAAACTCACTCATTAAACTATTCATATTATTATTACATAACTTCTTTTTTAACAACTGTTTGTGACAACTCATTACCTTTGTTACACTACCCTAATTTCATTAACATCTAATTTTCTTGACTTGTATTACCAATCTTCACCTGTTTAGTTAAAATAACCAAATAGCCAATTGTATTTTCGTTTGACAAGCTTAATGTACACCATACATACAAAATAACCCGTATGTATATATGCGATTGTACAGCTGAGAAAATGAATTCGCTACCGGAAAGAGACTCTTCACTGAACACTATGTGTTTTGTTTTCATTAATATAAAATCTATTGGTCAGTTAACACGTAAGGAAAAACACAGGCTTCGTTCAACCAAGAAGTGTATTTTGTTTTTCAACGACTTAACTTTCATTTATGAAAAATACCCATTCGCATATTAATAGACAAAAGACTAGTAGTTCAGCGAAGAGTCTCTTTTCGGCGAAGAATTCATTTTCACAGCTATACAATCGCAAATATTGTATATGTTTGTTTCGTGTATGTGTGTGCGTACATTAAATTTGTCAAACGAAAATACAATTAGTAGGCTCAGGTGAATTGGATGTTGATATAAGAGGATAGTAACAAAAGTGATTAGTTGTCATAAATCATTGTTAAAGAAGAGTTACGTAATAACGTGAATAGTTTGATGAAAGAGTTGTGCTCATGTTGTACATAGAAACCAAATAAAACACGTTTTAAGTGGTTAGAAAAATAAGCATACAAAAAAAGTTAAATCAAATCAGCGGAGTTGTTACCATGAGAGTAGAAGTGGTTGAATAATTTTCTTTTGTGTGCATAGTTCTGGTTCTTCCAACTGAATGCCTTCGGCTTCTGCGTTGCAAAGAAGAAAGAAACGTATTTTTGTGTTTGGCAGGTTGTTCTTCACTTTGTAGATTACTTTGAAGCAGGAGGCGTTTGTTGAGATATGGAATGATCAGTGTTGACGAGATGTTCGATTATTGCACTCCTTATATACGGCCACTACTTCCTTTCTGCAGCCACACTGAATAGTGTTCTTTGTCACCATTTGACAGGATGCGCGTTGAACGACCGACGTACCTGGCCCCAAAGCAACAGGTGAACTGATATATACATATAGAAGTGGTCAGAGATCTTGTCCTTTGGGCTTCTGCAAATCAGTGGGCGACTGGGGAACACTACTCTCAATGCTACCGTAAAGAAAGTTCTTCTTAAAGAAGTGGAAATTCTCCTTCTAAGGGCATCACTGAGTAGGTCACCTTTGAAGTCGAGGCTCATATAAAGTATCTCTTTTGGTTTGGATAGCGTCTCTACCTTTTGGATTTTCTGTTTGATGCTTTTGTCTATGAATCTTGATGGATAACCGTTTTGTATGAAGATTTCTTTAAGTAAGTGTAGTTGTTCTTCCAAGGTTTCAGAGCTGCAAATGCGTCGGACGCGAGTGGCAAGAGATCTAATTAGGTTTCTTTTTCGACTGATGGGTACTCAGCTGTAGAAATTTTCAAGCTGTATGCAGTTATTAGATGATTGGAAGCAACTGGCCACGGGAAGCCTTAGACCACCTAGGTTTCGTGCTAGTTGGCACTCACCAGTCAGCAAGGCGGGCGCATCAGCAACCGCTTTGGAGGAACTTTTGAGCCTTCCAAAATTCGAACCCGCGTCACCCAGTGCCACCGCAGTCCAGCCAAAGACGTTACTACTGAGCTATTCGGGCTTGCGATTGACCCCCTCTGTAGGACTCTAGTGAATACTTTGATTGAACACTAGTCAGCAACTAGTGATGTGATGTGTCTAATCCTTTCTTTGGTGCAGACTGAATTCTGTCAGTCAGGTTTGCTATGTGGCCACCATTCCGGGTAGCTCGCCATCATGATGCACATGGTAACGTCTGTGACTGCAGGCGGAACTGGGTGATGTGTTTTCCAATCTCAGAAGGGATATGAATTCCTTAGAGGTTGCAGATACGCCCGCCTTGCCGACTGGTCAATGCCGACTACCACAAAACCTAAGTCCAAAGCTTCCTGTGGCCGATTGCCTCCAACCATCTAATATCATCAAATCAATATGCACCGTGATGGCGAGCTACCTAGGGGAATGGTGACCACATTGTAAACCTGACTGACAGCATTCAGTCTGCACCAAAGAAACGATTAGACAAATCATACTAGTGCATTTTATCTTAATTGGAATTTCTCATACTCCCCTCCCCTTATCTCTATTTCAACAAGACGTGATCTGAACATTCGCACCTGTCTTTCCGCTCGACTAATTCAATGTAGTATATTCGCTCACTTATCAGTCTTATATCTCCCAATATATTTCGAATAGTATATATATTCCTCCCCCGTATGTAGAGTATTCAGCTGACGAGGAGTTCTATCGAAATTTGATGAATCCATCATTAAATCCTGCATTATCAACACCTTTTGTTGTTGCTTGTTTTAAATACGAATCTTGTTGTATGTGTGTTGAGTGCCACACATTTACAAACTGAATTCCGATTGAGGAAGATGTGTGTAGCCTTTCCAATCCTGGATGATTTTGACATCTTCATCCGTGTTCTGAATTCCTGTGGTTGAAACCGTGCTGGCTTCCTTGCCAGATATGTAAAGAGGTCTTTAAATATTCCCATTTTGAAAATTACAACAAGACATATAAGCGAACAATATTGTTGTTTTCAATTAGATCTTCTTCAGACTTTAATTTACATAAATTTATATCGAGAGCGACAAAAAGGGACTTATACTGCCTCCACCTTTTGTTTGTCAATTTCCAGCTGCCGACCAATTATGATTGCTCAAGTGAAAGACAAACTGCTTAGCTACCTGTGTAACTTCTATGTGTATCTATAAATTTAGTTGCTCCTGTGGAGAAAGCTGGCTATATAGGGCAAACAACTAGACAGCTTAACAAACGCATTAATGAGCATCTTCCTTCATGGTTCAGAAAAGGTCAAATAAAATCTATACGAAGTTCTATTTTGGCTCATTTGATTGATAGTGGTAACCAAGTGGACAAAAATAGTGGCTTCAAAGTTATCTATAGCACTTCATCGAGCCTTTCGAACGGAATTCGAATCCGTCTTTTACACATAGCTGAAGCTATGGGAATTCGAGATAACAATCCTAGTCTTTGCATACAGCAAAAGAAGTTTGTTCTACCTTTGTCTCTGCCTTGCTTGACCTAGGTGAATTCTATTCAAAACCCTCCCACCCTTTCTTGTTTTCCATCTTCTTCTTACTTTTATGATATTTATTACTTAAACTCTGATTATCTGTCCACTTCACCTTTAGTATTACGTAACTTTTAAGATTTGACCCAATTTATTTATTGAATTGTCTACATATACACATATATACATATACTACCTTTGTTATTCTTCTCATCCCCCCTGCATAAACCTTATTATCAATATTTTGTTATCATTATAATCATCGTTATTAATTACGTTCAAAACACTTACCATATTATTGTTATTATTTGATCCACAAAATCACCGTCATTGGTTAAAATTTTTTTATACATAAATCTATTAAGCCACTGGGACCCGATCCAATGGTCCTTGAATTCTAACTTCTGCCAATTCACGACATAGCGCAACCGCTAGCCAATGTCTTCGGCGAGTATTTGTCCTCACACCCAACCCGCTGTACCCTACTGGTCACGACTTCCCACTGGAACCCAGGTAACTACCTACCTACCTGAATAGGGCCAGTCACCAGTGAGCATCTCTTTGCTATTCAAGTGTTGGTTTGTAGGGATTTCCACTGGGAAGTCGTGACCAGTAGGGTGCAGCCGGTCGGGTGTGAGGACAAATACTCGCCGAAGACATTGGCTAGCGGTCGCGCTATGTCGTGAATTGGCAGAAGTTAGAATTCATGAGCCATTGGGTCAGGTCCCAGTGGCTTAATGGTATATGAGCTCGCCTTGTAACCGGAAGGTCCTGGGTTCGAACCCCATGGTGTGGGTTCGTACTGCTGAAGAGTCCCAAACTAGGACGAAACAGCTGTCCAGTACTCCCAGTTGGTATTCCAATGGTTCTCTAACTAATGTCAGCTCATGATGAAATCCTGTAAACCAATCAAATCCCTACAAACCATCACCTGATATAAATCTATGTAAATTAAAGTAAAGCCTGAAGAAGATCTAATTGAAAACAACAATATTGTTCGCTTATTTGTCTTGTTCTAATGTAAAGAGGTGTTATGATTTACAATAAATAAAGAGATATATAATTGAATTTTAGATTTTTCCCTCCATTGATTCATTGGACTGAAGAGCTTGGTCTCAGGTTGACATGTCGAAGCATCTGCACAAGAAACCGACAGACATGTCAACCTGAGACCTAGCACTTAGGTCCAATGAATCAATGGAGGGAAAAATCTAAAATTCAACTAAATAATTAATATGGCCCGTTGCACAAGAGCCAAGATGGCTGTCATGGCCCAAGTGGTCTAGTGGATAACCCACTTTGGAATTGGAAACTACAGACACTTGCTTCGAGCCTCGATGGGGAACATCATCACTCACTGACTCGGGAATGCAGATACATCCAGCTGACGAGCCAGTCCCAAATAGAACGAAATGCGCTTTATCCTGGATTCCATAGGTAGTCATCATCCACCAGTTGAAAATATAGAGATAATTTGCTTGACAGCATTGAACAAACCAAAAAAACAAGAAAATGTACCTACTTCTTCAACTTCTAAAGACTTCATCAAGGCCAAAGCTTTATCATCACCTGGACAAGTCACATGCACTCGCCAACCCCATAATTTAGCTAATTGAGCTGCAATAAATCCCACGCCACCAGTTGCACCAGTGATTAAAATTAAATTATTTGATAATAATTGTGATGGTGTTCGTGTTGTTTGAGACATTCTTTGCCGAACAGGTCGTATTCCACCAGTATCGACTAAAGCTGACCATGCAGTCAGTCCTGCATAGCCTAATGCAGCTGCATGCAGATAAGATACATTCTTGGGTAGAGGAGCAACATATTCAGCTGGACAGATAATATATTCAGCTAAAGCACCAGACCCAGTAGAACTTAAAAAAGGCCATGTAGCACCGGCTACATTTGTACCAATGCTAATTTTGATATTATTTGTGCGGTTTGATGATTTGACCTCAGGACCTATGTCAACTATTTCACCAGCGAAATCACGACCAGGTGTAAAAGGAAAACCGGAGTTATTTTCAGATGTCATAGTATTTTCGATATTTGGTACGCCGAAACATCCACAAGGTGATGTGAAACGTCGTAGGAGATTGAAACTTGATGAACCATAACCATAGATGAGTAGCGAATCGACAGGATTTAATGATGCTGCTTTCACTTTAATAAGAATTTGATCTGGACGTATGATACTCGGCATCCGTCTAGTTTTGGTTAAATGTAACTCTGACGTGATGTCTGGGGTTGGTGTTGTTGTTGTTGACGATGATGATGAACCAGGTCGAAGAAAATTCATTAATTGCCATGCTGAAATGGTTCTTGGTAATTGTTTTGACATTATTTATTATTATTAATATATTGTACGTTAGTTATATTTGGAAATATATCCTGAAATGTAACAAAAGAATAGCAGAATATTAATAGCTTCGGTGCAACGGCGGTTAGGAATTTCGCCGACTATGCACATGGTCCGGGGTTCGATTCCCGGCAGACGCACACTTTATATCAGTGGTCGGCCTGCTAAATTTTGGTTGCCGATATCACACGCTATAAATTCCACACTTGTATCAAAACACGGTGTGGAATCAAGCTATAACAAAATAATATGTACAGGACAATATAGACATTTCCATAGCTTCGTTCCTCTCCGGTACAAAAGAAATTTAGTAAATACCCGTCAGCCACAGGGTTAAAGCTATATGCTTAGAAGAGGTAATTGAAGATGAACTTAGGGTTGATTGTATATGATAAATTGATTAATTGAAAATAGCTATCCAGACAAATTCATCAGTAAACATATGACAAAGAAAGTTAAAAAGGACTATTCACTATCTGTGAACAAGATACCTTTATACATACGACTTCAATTCAAGGGCGATACACCTAGTGGAATAATTATGAAGTTTATTTTTATTTATTTATTTAAACGCAGAAAAACTTGGTACAATATGGCACCAAGAAAGATGAGCCACACAATAATAATAAAGCAACATAGATCAAAAGTAAAAAATATAAGTAGAGAACGAATAAAGAACTTCATCTGGAAGGAAAACATTCATGCTTGACAAGTTCAAACAGAATTCGTTAACTATCATCGAGAAGGGAAGAAAGAAGGAAACTGCAACACGCTCACCATTGATTACGATTCTTGGCCATATCCGATAACGTTTCGAGCTATCTCACGGACCCCAACCAGGGAGTCGTGACGCACCAACCGATGCTAATCTAGCACAAACATCCTTCACCTCACGACGCCACGTCATGGACTGACCAACCCTCCGCCTTTTTCATCCCGTCCCAGGGCTGACTAGCGAACAGAGACCTGTATGGAAGCCTCTGGGGTGACATTCGTAGCACATGTCCAAGCCACTGGAGCCGGTGTTTCCAGATGACGACACTCAATGAATGGTGATCTCCGCTGTGTTCAAACACACGCCGGCCGCCGAACCTCAGAATTACTCACGCGATGATGCCATCGAACGCAAGCGATCCTGCGGAGACAACGATGATCAAACACGCAGAGTCGCCGCACATCCGCAGCTTGGAGAGGCCAGGTTTCACAGGCGTAGAGCAAGACAGTCCGCATCGAAGCATTGTATACCCGACATATGACAACCTAGCTAACGTTCCGACGGTGCCAGAGGTGGCTGAAGCTAAACTGGCTGGGACTCATGTCCCTGCAGGTCCTACCATGTCAGGAAGGTTGTTTGGATAGCGGTTAAACTAAAAGCAGTTACCATGGGGTACATGGTCTCCAGAATCCAATGGGATCAAATGACGTATAAACCTATGTGGGTCACCGGCAACCATGTTCGAGTAGAATGCCTTGATCAGTGCGATGAATTTTCTTGGCATTTCCTTCACTGCCGAACATCACTATAATACCTCTTGGTTGACGTTATCGAATTCCGCTTCCAGGTTAAAAAATATGGCATTCGTTGGACGCTGGTAGGTACTTTTGAATTATTAGTAAGGTGTGGAAGTGGTCATGAGTTCAACACTTCCCCAGTCTCCAGCATTCATTTGTTTAGGTAATATAATATGCATCTACAATAAGTGTTGCTTGCAGTTTAACACATGCATATACATAGATGTTAATTCGTGGTAGCTGATATGGTATATTGTTATGTCTGACAAATCTCTGTACTAGTGAAGATATATCTGCTGAACAATTGGTCAAAGTATCTTGTCTTATTGACTGGCTTCTATTTCTATTTCTTTGTCTCACACCTCTGCTTACTGTCTCTATTATGCATTTCTACTTTCTTCTCTTGCTTTGTGTGCTATGTGGAGTGTGGTGACTTGAACTGCCGCACATATGTGCAAAGTTCTATGTCGAAAACAGACAGACAGACCGGGAACCATGGGAATGCAGCTCCTGACGTTGCTCCACTGCCTTTCGGATTAGACTCCAAGTCAAAGGCTTGGGGGATGATCCTTTAAGAAAATCCCCTACTTCGGTTTGGGTGCCCGGGCAGTATCTCAGCCCTCACACAACCAAAATGAAATAAAACAAGAAACTATCATTGAAACTCACCGCGCGCTCGTAAAAAAATGATTTCAAGTAATAATTATGAAGAATTTAAGAAAATCATTTCTAAGAACTCTTAATGTTGGCAAAGTACAAGTTTTATATTCTCTACGACCGATGATGATTCCACAAATGAAAGATGAAGTACTTAGACTAGACTAGCCACTTCTGATTGTACCTACCAATTCAACTGCACTTGTTATGGAGAGAGTTATATTGGTCGTTGCTCTAGGAACTTGATTTTTCGTGCTCACTCAGGAACATCTAATACGTGCGACTGAAGTCGGCTTGATCTACTTGGTGCAGGGTCATCGTTGCTTGTCTCGCTGTATCCATTCTGAGCTCGCTGACGTTCACGCGCCCTCATTCGCCATTGCGACTGGTCTGCGTAACCCATCTCGAAGTGACCAATGTCTTCCCACTTTGGAAACTGTTGCCTGACCCTGTCGAACATTCGTCCATACTTCGGCCACACTTTCATATGCTGCTTTCCCCACCTCCCAGCAGCGTCAAGTAGCAGCTCATCGCTGACAGATCTTGACGCCACTCAACTGCGCAGAAGCCTTGAAGTCCTCCCGAAATCCATATGTCTCCATCAAAACGCAGGATAGGCTTCATTTGTCGTAGCAGCGACACAAATGTAACACAGAAGACAAGGGCCAGCAACAGATCGTTTATTATGAAAATCAACACGTATTTATACATCTTTCAACTACATTATTAGACAAGCGCAGTCATCTGATTGGTTGTTTAGGTAGACAACGCAGGCTTCTGATTGGTTTTTGGATTCCTTGACAAATAGAGTTCTCTACTAGTGTGGTTAAATAAAAGTGTGGTGAGAGAAGCATCAACAGCTCGATATTAGACCACCTGGTGGAAAGCGATCGACCGAAAAGCTAGAACTGAAGAATACTTCTCCATCATCTATGGGGTACCAAATAAATTGCCAAAAACATTGAGGTACCGCATACTCCAAACATCAGAGGATACTGTCGCAATCCACCTGAGACAACTGGTGCTCGGAGTGTGTGTGTGTGTGCAGAAGGAACAGATCAAGCCAGCCACTACTACCTGCCCTGACCGAACTACAGCGGAAACTATAAATTCATGGATTTGTATTATTATTTTTCCTAATTTGCCTATCTGGTATTCAGTGTATTATTATGTTGATGCTATGGAAGTGCGATCCATTGATAATACTATTATTATTGATTCGATGTTATTTAAACAACATTAATGTTGTTACTAATAACACTAATTCACTCATTCACTATTATGGAAGCATATAACTGTAGAGCCTGATGACGAAGAGCAGGTTATCGAAAAGAATATTTTTTTTTGTTCAGAAACCATCGAAAAATTGTAATGGGCATTTTTTTTAATCAGTTAGAATAAAACAGATAATTTGATTAGTGAAAGTCGACGAAAGTGTGTGGTTGAATTGTAAGAGCGGAAGGCAAGACATAGAAGCAAATGTATATTTTCAATTGACCAAACATATATACATATACGTTTACATATATCTGTCTGTCTGTCTGTTTTCGACATAGAACTTTGCACAAATGTGCGGAAGTTCAAGTCGACACACTCCCTCCTTGTAGCACACAAAGCAAGAGAAGAAAGTACAAGAAAAGCATAATAGAAACAGTGAGAAGAGGTGTGAGACAAAGGAGAAGTAATAACGAAGAACAAAGTAGTTTCATTGGAGATCATAAGTCACAAGGAGTGGATGCATCTGCGCCACTGAGAAAGATTTTGAGCCATGTCACCAATTGTTTCCAACCATAGATTCTTACCATCCCGAGGACCCCAGCCTGGAAGACTACACCTCCCTACGCGATGGCTTAGGCTAACTGTTGTGGATTTCATTGACTGGTTCCAAGTTTTTGTTTGACCGCCGCTAGCTTTTTTCCAGCCTGACCCTATATCCGCTAACATTGCTCGTCGAGGGAGGCGATGACTAGACATACGTAACACATGTCCTAACTATCTCAGTCTTTGTAACTTCACGACTTCGTCGATTGATTTCCCCTGTTTACCTAGCACTCGACGCCTAACCTCAATGTTTCTCACCTTATTATGCCACTTTACACGGGAAATAGAGCGCAGGCACCTATGATCAAAGACAGCTAGTCAGTGTTTTCATGTCTTCCACTCTCAGTGGCCAGGTCTCACAACCATAAAGGAGGACGGAGCGGACTGATGAGCAGTACGTTTACATATATAAATTTTTATATTCTTTAACCAGTCATCACTGAGCACGTTAATTTGGGTTTACATTAAATGACATGAAATAGAATGTTTAAATAAATATCCATAGTATTCTGTTGCTAATGCAGTATTGAACTGTGAGAATAATATTCCGTTGGAATACACATTCATTGTCTGTATCACATCACCACACCAATAAGCAGTTACAGGAACAAATGAAATTATAGTTGAAAACTTAGCGCCTTTATTTATTTAAATAAAAATTGCCAAGACATCGAATACAGTTCTTTACCAACTGACAATTATTATTATTATTAATAAAGTGATTTCATTATGATGTTGAGATTGAATTACCATAGGATTGCAACACCAATGCTGGACACAGACACACGGTGACCACGAATACTGCTTTACCACGCCAACAACAATATGCATTAGCTACCTGATTTTTCCAGCCGGAAAACACAACGACGAGAGATGGAAACCATATTTATCCGTATCAGAAAGTAAGAAGTGAGTAGCGTAACAAAGAAAATAATGATATGTGTTGTTATCAGAGAACACACACACAGATGATATAGTCCTTCCTCCTAGGT